AATACGCGGTTCTGCTCCTATGCGTGCCGCGTGCCTTCTGGCTATCCTAATTTTCTGCCAGGTTTACGTTGAATGAAAACTTAAATGACTTAATATAACGTAATGTTTCACGGAAAATTTTATTTTCATACGAACCTTATTCTTTTTTTTATATTCATGCATTTACTATAACGCATACACTTCTTGCTTGCCCACTTGCGTGTGCTTTCCTCTGACAAAACATTTACTTGAATTCGATATTATGTTACGTACGAACGGTACCATAAAAATGCTTTTAATTGCATATAAAATTGCATAGATTAAAAAGTCTATAAATTATAACACGCTTCTTTATTATCAATTATATTACTAATAGTTAATTAGTAATGATTAAAAATTGATTAATGAGATAATATATCATTATATTATAATAAATGAGATATCAACAAATACGAATTACGAAATAGGCTTTTTGCTTACGTGTGCAGTTCATCTCTTTTCTCTTTCGCTGTTTTACTTCTCGTTACGAGACGAATGAAACTCTCGAAATGCGGTAGAGATACGTCGTCCAAAGCTTGTATATTTGCGATCTCGTCCGCTATTTCTCCAGTTCTGGAATTGCTCGGCGTACGTCATGCCGCTTCCGGGAGTGCGGCAACGAACCCTAGGGGCACAATAAAACTGCATCTAAACAACGTCAGCGACGGGGTAAGATGAAACGGAACGAGGGTAGAAGAAAAGAAAAGGGCGAAAAGGCATGGATGAGAGGAGAGATCTGAGCTGCATCGTTACGGAAAAAGGCTGGGTCAGAATGGGCGAGGAGATTGAGGCAAGGGGACTTCGCCAGGGAGACGTGATCGCGTTAACAACAACTGTTGGAGAAAGGTGGGCGTTTCGAGCGATCCGGTTTGAATAAGTAGTTACCGGCCTAATAGTAGCGCCGGACTGTGACGATCGTTGAATACCAAAATTTCGACCAGATACGCCGAGTCACGAGCAGATTGGTTAAAGAAGGGACGAATTCAGGAGGGTTGCCTGGTTCGCACAGGTTGCGGATTTTAGTTTAGATCTACAATGTCAAACAGCTATAAACACCTCAATCGATCTCATAGACTCCTTGTTACTATTTCGTATCCGGCCATTGAACATAAAGCCGCTTTTTCCCCCTTTGACCGGTCATCGCCCTCTTCAATTGTCAATTTTTTCCCCTGTCCATCACGTATAGAGAAATAACTTTTGAAATGTACACCGCAAGTGACCTCAATTCGTATAAAACTACTAGATAGATCTCTCTCGCAACTGAATTTTATTCGCGAGAAACGGTATTTTATTGCAAGGAATTGTATTGTATGTAATTATCGCAATTTTTTATTCAACTAACTCAATCAGGCTTTATCGATAACGGATTCCATTCTTCAATGAATTCTTTACGAAATTCTATGCACGATGCAAATAGTTGTTGCGGAAAGAGCAAAAATTGTATTTTAAGAGAATTGTATCTAAAGTTTTTATCTTACAAAATACTAGAGAAGAAGAAATTAATATTCCATTAAAGCTTATTGAATAAAACACTAGTAATGTAACTTCAAATGCATTTCTTTTCGTAAAATTTTTTTTTCTGCTCTTTTTCCAACCATCGCCATGAATATTTTCTGTTTCATCGATCTAAGCAAAGCGAGTAAGAAACAAGTGAACGCGGATAAGATCGAGGAAACGTCAGCATCTTTTCTTTTTCCTTCTCTTGAAATTACAGAAAGATGAACGTTGGACATTTTCTCGTTTCAAAAATATCAGGATATTTTTTTTATTCTTCCGTGCGACGGAGAAACGAGACGTAGGTTATCAAGGTTACAATTTCCGCAATTTTCACGGCGTCGTAAATCCCAGGGACATGAAATCTCACAATAATGAATTCGTCGTGAACTAGTAAAACATCGGAATAGCTTTTCTTCGATTCCAAGGAGTAGGTTACTTCTTCATTGATTCATCCAGTGGGTTACGAGTCTTATCAAACTATAAGTAAGCAGTGGTTTACGAGACTGCTTTGCGCTTCTTCTTTTAAATTTGAAACTTCCTGCTACCGAGGAAGTCGGTTTATACGTCCATCGTTGGAAATTTTATCTTTTAATTTTCCATTTTCTATTCCACTGTTAACTTTTCATCCTTCATGAAAAAATTATACATGTCGGTAAACGTGCCCGTGAGTAAAATATCACTTTCCATTTACGGTTGAAAATTATACGGAAGCAGTGGTACCGCAAAGATTACAAGAGAAAATTATAATTGTAATATGGAATGTCATAAAAAATGGATAAGATTTTCTTTCAATAGAATTCAATTTTCAATCGTTCTAGACAATTGTCGATCACTTATAAGTATCGGCAAAGTCTATGACCTCGTAAAAAGTCTCATATCGTTGAAAACTTGCTTTTTTTAATACCTACACCAAATAATAAAAAAGATTAAAATAGAAAAGAACTTTTCTCTTTCTAGTATTTAATTTTCAATCGTTTTGCGCTTGTAGATATCGAATGTACGAGCTCGGTAAAAATCGCTGAGTAGAGACCTTAATTCCATCGGAGACTGCCTTTTTTAAATGCAATACGTAATACAAATAAAAAAATTCTTCAACACCGTGACGGTAGTCCCATGGACGATGGTTATTATCTCTTCACAAATTACATCGAGGTAGCGTACCAGGGCTTTTGGTCTCAGCCGTGATAAACCCATCCACTCCTATCCTCCGCCATCCTTCCCTCCCTCCCCTCTTGCCTTCCCAACCCCTGACTCTATTATTTTCAACCGCCCAACTTCTGATATACCACCTGCAACCTCATTTACCTAGCTACTGTATGTACGTTAGACAACACTTATTACCTGGGTAATACAATCGCATAATGCGCCCCTCGTCTTCGCGCCAACGATAATGCCTAATTTAATAGTAAGGAGCGTCGCAGTCTCGAGTCTAACGAGATATTACTGTCCGGATGTTACGCATCGTCGATCGAATTAATTTACAATTATGATTAAGGCGATGTCGCTTGTCCGAGCGTGTTTTCGCTTTGAAGCATCAATTTATATTAGTCGCTATGATCTCTATCTATATGCTTCAATAAGTTGGACGAGTTTACGATTAAATTCGAGTTTAGAACCTTATTCCTACACACTTATTGCAACCTACTTTAGAGTTTCGTTAAGCTAGAATGGAAAGTAATGCACTATTTCGAGCTACATATATTCGAGTTCTATGCATTAGTATTAAACTACTAGTATAAAAACTTAATTCAACTAACAATAAAATATTTTTTTGAAATTTTGTTTAAATTAAAGTTCTTATCTATTCCCGCATTTTATCGTACTTGTTGTAATAATATATGCGATATCGACTCCGTAGTCTCTGATGCTTGTTTACCTTAACATGATAAAAATGTTCAACGTAAAAAGTTGATGACAGAGTGACTAACGAGGAAAGTTTGGCAACCTGCAAATTCGAAAATAAAAGAATCGTGTACAAACGTATAGAATAGTTCGACTCTCTACCGTGCAACTATTTTCCGTTGCGGGTAAAAAACGGATTTAGAGCGTGAAAAAATCAACTCCAAATTGGTCGGAGAGTACAACTGCAGAATTTAACGATATTGTAGAATTATTCACAGATATTTGAAAACAAAATCAAAACGCAATGTTTTTCCTTAGCTTTCACGTGATTATTACGGTTGATAAGTGTGTGGCTAATTAATTCATGAAATATGCAAGTTGCATGCTTGAAGAGTGTTGAAATGTGAGTATTAACTGCTTAACGAGCTCGTGCGACCGTACCACGTGTTGCAGGGCTTCTTTGTACATACGCATGTATATGAGTGCACATACACACACACACGCATGGCCGTATGTACGTGCATTCTCGCATATATGCGTAGGAATGTATCGCAGAGAAATTGCGAAGACGATCGATAGTTGAACTCAACGAGCTGCTGTAAGCTCTTCTCTACGGTTGGTTGTGCTTGAATCGGTAATTCTCGCGTTTAGCGCACAATCCTTTAGGTTGACGTTTGATGATTCGGCCAATCTAATATAATTATGGAAGAAGTTATCTTTCTCTTCTCTTGTTAAACCCAGATTATGTTTAAGATGCATAAACTTGAGATTACTCTCATCTTCTTACAAAGCGACGCTTAAAGCGAGCGATGCACATTTTTAAACCAGTTTTAAACTAGATAGGTGTTGTTACTTTGTCTAAGGTTTACGAAATTTTTGAGGCTTGCGAAAGAAAGAAAAAAATTTTTTCAAAGAAGAAAAAAATTTTCCCTTAATATTCTATCATGAAAATTTTTATCTCATTGTGAGTCATTCTGTGTAGCTATTCAGAAACGAAAAAATTTCTCTAATGGTAAAAATGGTAAAAATAAAAGAAAAGTTTTTTAAGAAATGTATCAGAGAACTGGAATCGTACTGTATATATGTATATGTATATATTCTATATATATATGTGTGTATTTATATAGAATATGTATTTTGTATATATATATATATATATACATATTCCACGCTGGTGGATCAAAAGTTTCCTTAACACTTTTAATACATCAACGGGGATGAAGCATTTAAAAATCCGAGATAAAAACACGGCAGGTCGGACGAGCGCTTTATTTTATCTCGAATTACTGTTTCGAGTTGAGCAGACCACGGAGAAGAGACAATTAAAACTTTAAGCTGAAATAGCACCACCGTCACCGTCACTTGGACAAACTGAATTCTTCGGGCGGTGGGAAGCTTTCTTTAGGGCAACAACTTGTGCTCAGAAGAAACTTTTCACGATGATTTAAAATGTTTCACGATGTATTTTTAAGGGATTTTTATGTATTCCGACTTACATATCGAAATTACTATTATTTCCAAAATTTGTATAATATAATAAAGATAAAGAGTCTTGATCAAATAAATAATAGATTAGTAACAATTAAGTTAGTAAAAGAGTTTTTTAGATATATTAGTATCTTATAAAAGTATCTTATTTTTAGTGATAGAAGAGCAAACTCAAGAAGCGATAAATGCGGATGGAGACATTGAAAATTCTGAAAACCATCAAGAAAGTAAATAAACATCAAATTTCTTAATAAGATATTAACATTACACATACACACGCACGCACGCACACACACATATATATGTAAACTTTTTTTATACAGATGATGAAGAAGAGGATGAAGATGAAGAAGAAGAAGAAAGAGAAACTGTTGTTCAAGAAATTGATTTTAAATTGGATGAATTTCTTCAAAGGTGCGATAATAGTGTAATAATAGGGTTCTATCAAATTTTTCCTTGAGATTCATTTAACCAAAATAATTAATGTTGAAAAACAGATTGATAAAAATGTAAAAAATTGATCAAACAATCTATAAATAAAAAATTATCGATTCTTTTACTTGTAGATTGTTTGATCATTTTTTAAATATTTTTAACAATCTTTTTTTCAACATTAATTATAATATTTTGATTAAATGAATCTTAAGGAAAAATTTGATTTTTTAAATTTAATTTTTAAAGTTTTATCTAAAGCTTTGTTTAAAATCTAGCAAAAGTAAGGTTTTATTGTCTATTTGTACTTTTCAAGCTCTTTTGCTGCGATTTTTTAAAAAGGAATTCCGATTCAGTGAATCAAGATACTCTGTATACGATGAAACATAAACAGCATCTTTGTAAAAAATAATATATTATTCGAAGGTTCGCCAACGTGAAGGTCGTCAAGGCTTTAACACTACTAATGCAACAATTCGAAAACAACACAATCGAACTTAATCACTATATTACAAAAATGCTACATCGGATTGCTTGGGATTGTAAAATGCCGGGTATGATATTTCAAGCGTCCATATTTCGGATTTTTCAAAGAATCCTCGAATCAAAGGATCCTGCACATAAGGTAATAAAGTATTCAGAATGAATCACATAATTAACTATAATAATTACACCTTATATATTTTATAAATTTACAAAATCGTTAACATTTTTTATATTATTCAGTCCAATATTTTTCTCGACAAATTTTTTTTCTTTGCGATGTCACACTTTATCGCTTTTCGTACATAAGAATAGATAAGACGGTTTCTTAGCTAGTGATAAAAATTCTTTTCCTTTCTTATACTGCGCAATAAATTTCACCAGCAAGCTTTTATTGCATCCTTGTATCGAGCTTAATGGTCCACAGAAGTGGACTCGTTGAGCAGCAGAAAAATCGATTCTTGCTTTAGGAGCTCCAAAAGTTCGCGGTCTTCATAATCCGCCATTTCATCGAAGTCGCCCAGAAGAACCGGAAGTCGTATATGGAGCTACTCTTCTGGAAGACTACCCGCGACGCGACAGAAATCGTGGATGGTTACAACGCGGAAACGACTAACAAGAAAGTTTCACGAGCGACCTGGACGGAGGCGGAAGAGGACGAGCTACGTACCCTCTTCATGGAGCATCAGACTAACAAATATCCTCAAGGTAAACTCTTTATATCGTTCATTTCTCACGGAGAAGTCTCGTACACACATCGTTGAACTCGATAAATTAGTGCCTTTTACGAGAACGTGCCCAAAATACAGAGCTTTTTATTACGCAATAAATAAAAGACAAAGATGCAAGGAATCCAGTGCATTGTTTAATTAACATTTTTTAACATTTAATCGTTATTGTCTAGCTCAATAAAAAATACTTCCATTTACTCTAAATTGGATCACTCATGCAATAACTGTAATGTTATAAATTTGTAGATTTAATTGATTGGCTATTGGAGCATGTCATCAATGAAAATAGAACACGACGTACCATCATTAAGAAACTCAAGGAGATGTGCTTGATCGTCAATTCTAAGGTCAGTTCATTTTTTTCTCGCAAATATAACGTAGTTCTTTATAATGTAGACGCTAAAGGAAACAAGCAATCTCGAACCTTTTCTGATAATAATTTATTTATTTTAACCTAATATTTCTTTCTTGGAGAAACAGCTTTAAAAGATTCAGTAAACAAATTTTTGTACCTCCGCTAAAAAAGTACGGTTCATCCATGTGCCCTGCGGCAATCCTCGTTGCGCTTCGTCTGACAAGATCAATGATTTACGAGAATCTTTTGGAAGGGCGGAGAGGGACCGTTTGCCCGGCTTCGAAAATAAGTTTCTAGACTGCCTTCGCGTTGACGGGGTGAACATATGCAAAAAATGGAGCCGGGAATTGCTGCAGGAACTGTAAATTCTCCAGAGACAATACCTTTCTACGGGGTGAGACTTTCTACCCTCGTTTTTTCGTTTCTCTTTCTTCCACCATTGCGTGAGCTTTCCAACATAAACTGCGTGTTTCTTCTACCAGCCGGTAGTCTCTTTTCCTGAGAATGGAAAAGATCTGTGTGCGACCCCTTCGTCAACTTTCGCGACCCTAAAACCGGTGGTTTCTTGAGAAAAGCTATCGTTTTGTTTGCCTTCTGCCTTACGACATACGTATAAACATTTGCATCACCCTTCGGGCTATGAAAACGCGAAGGGAACATGACTCAAGCGCTTTGTTGTGTTTGTTGAACTGTAAATGCGCGTGTTATGAGCTAGTATTCTATAACTTTCGTTTCGATAGCGGAGGTCGAATTGAAATACTTTATTCAATTTATAAAGAGTCCAGCACAAATTTATTACAATAGAAACATCACAATCTCAGGAATATTTGATGTTTAATTAGCCTTAGAACTTAATATCATGTTACTTTTTTTGAATTATTAACATTTCCTAAAGAAACGTTCCGAGAATACTAAGCTTGAAAACGTTCCTTTTTTTCCTTCGTTATAACTCTTTTCTTCTGAAGATACACGGTGCAATACGGTGATAAAGCATGGGAATGCGTTAATCAAGCTTCTTATTGCGGCAGAGGAGTTACTAACTAGTTACCGGCTTATTTAAAACTTGAAATTAATTGAGTTTGTAGGGAAGCTCCTAACAAGAGAGGGAAAAAAGCGTAGCGGAGGATAAGCGATGCAATACACAATACTGTATCTCATTCCACCACGCTTTTTGTAGATGAAACATAACATAAGAGATTTAGCAAAAAGTTTTGCTCAGAAGACGTCAGCGTTTTTGGCGCGTGCAGTTTATAATAATTATTTTAAAACAAAGCTATTTAAAACAATGCTGTCGACCGTGCGATCTATTAAACTATATGCCTCTCAGCTGTTTATTAAAATTTTATTTCGTTTAAGCGAAATATATTTGACGTGAGTAATTGTTTTGTCAAAAAAAATCGAGCATGGAGTATGATTAATTTTTCGATAATGTTTCACGACATTAACCAGTCGTGATCGGGGAGAGAAAAAAAAATATTTATTTCCCCTCCGGTCTTAATTCGCTATTAATCACAAGCGTGCAGTCACCGGCGAAAGGAGGGTGGCTACGTCGGCGGAAACGTTTCTTCCATCATATTATCGATTTCTTTGCGAGACCTTCCTATAGAAAGGCTTAGCTACGGAAACGTTTCATTTAAATAATTTCATGCGTGAGTACGTTTTGTCTCTTTGAACGAAGAGAGTACGGTCGAAGCAGAAACTACGGCCGAGTATTCATTTGACATTCATTTAGTCCGTGGAAGTCGCGATATTGCTCCGACGGCCATTTAGAGACCTCGTTTCGCTGAGGGTGGAGCGTAATCGCTGGAAAACGAGCGACCCAGCTTCTTCTTTTTAAATACGCCTACTGACTTAGAAGCTTCTCCAAAGATTATACATGGAACGCTTTGTCTCATCAAGCCTGGAGATTATGCGCACGCAAAATACCTTCCGAGAATATTATAGGGGTTGAATAGCTGGGTGTTAATTAATTTATACATACATATATATTTATAAAGATATCGATATTGATCAAGCCTTTGTGCTATGATTAGTCGACTATTCGGTTATCGCCGAATCAATGTTAAGTACAAAATTTACTTTGCTATATTTTGGTAACTGTCTCATTTTTAGAAAAGTTTAATAATGATTGTGTTTAATGTTATGGAAATTTTCAGTGGATTTAAAATATTTTAATCTTTTTCCATTACGAACGACATACGTAATCTAACCCATTTTCTTAAATCTCATAATTAATTAGGGCGTGCGAGCTGAGGTGCAAAAGAGATTACCTAAAGAGTGGTCTGAAGAAGAAATCGCCCAGCTTACAGAACTTTGGACACAGTTCAAAGATGATGATGGTAATTTTTTAAATTTATTTTCTTCAAGCTAATTTCTGATGATATTTCTTAATTTCTTTTCTATTTCCTGAAAGTATAAATTTCATCGGACAATTGACTTTGGAATTTTCCTTCATTTATTCATATTTCTGTTAATTTTTATAGTTAAAGTTAATTGTAATTATTAATCACCGGTAAATGGAACAAAGAATGTGAAGTTTACAACTCGACGGTAGTAATATAAATTTCTCGAGAACTTGGCAGCATATTGTAATAATTGCCATTTATCGTAATTTATAATTTATCTGCGAATCATACGCGCCAAAAATGGCCTTAACCCAATTCCCGATATAAATTTCCGCGATAGAAATTCGCCGTAAATTTCAGCGTTAATTCTAGCCGGTTATTCGCGTTCCGAAACTGTTGAAATATTTCGCGAATGCGAAATTCGTGCGAGAATTCGTTAACACTGGAACGATTCCTAGGATTTAATTAAGCTCCGAACATCGGACACGCTTGGCTGCTTGTAGTAATAATTTCGAATCCGCTGGGACGAACGAAGAATAATATCCTTCCTGACAGAGACATTTTCAGAGAAGTCTTGTAAAACTTGTTTCATTTTCATACGAATCCACCGCTCTCCATAACTTTTAATCTCCGAAGTCGCTTCCACGCCAAACGTAATTCTCAGATGTCCACAAAATGTCAAGGGCATTTTTTCTTCGCCTTCTCTTAAAAAATTTCCGTAAAGTGTTTTATATTCTGCCGTGTTCTTACTCCGCGGTTATTAACCTTAGAACTACCAACTTCCCAACGGGCAGACAAAAATATTCACAAAATGTCATGTCATAAAAGAGAGATGATTCTTTTTTAAATTGAATTTGTTCCATTACAAATCTTACGAACACGAATTTACGCTTAATATCGGAATCGCGTTTATACGTAACATATCTTATAATCTTTCGAGAAGTTAAATTAAGTATAAGTACGTAAAGAGCGACGTCCAATTGACTTATAAATACATTTCGTCGACGTGAAATAAAGTCCGCCCCTTTAGATAAAGTCCCTTCGTAAGCTCTAATTGATTTAACTTTAAATCCCTTCAAAATCTCCGACAGTCGTCTTGACCTTCCCTCGCACGATTCTCCCACGAAGCCTTCCTATCATTCGTGCCGCACAGCTTTCTGACGACGCTATAAAAATCGAAACTACTGTGTCCTTGACAGATCCCGTGGATTTGATTTTCAACGAACTTAGAATAAAGCGACCGAAGCCGAAGATCAAGGAGAAGCTTCTGGAATTAGGATTGGTGCAGGATCGCAAAGAGTTGCGCAAAAAGCGATCCAGAAAGAGCAACCAGGGTGAGTATACTTATTCGTTCTTCCTCCCTTATCCGGTCTGGAGCATCCCTTGTTCCGACCAATCCCATCCTATTCCATTCGCATCTGTCTTTCTTACTATCCTCCGATTCCGCGACTATTCCCATTCGATCAGTCTTCTAGTAACGCCATTGCCGACGACTGCATAGAGCGACTCGCTTTCAACGGGGAAAGCGAAACGACGTGACGAGAGAGAGAGAGAGAGAGAGAGAAGAGGAAGCGAGAAGGAGTAAAGATCAATTTGTACAGAATTCTTTTCGTTCTTCTATATCGATTTCTTACAAACTGGGAAGAGAAAAAAACCTTTCGTCGATATTACCAGCGAAGACAAGTCCGCTCGTATATATTTGCGAGATTTGCTTCTGTTTTCCTTTTTTATTACTCGCAAGTGAAGCGAGTGCGATTCCACGAGAATTTTGTACCTATAACGTATGTTAATTGTTCCATTTTTTATCCCAATATTATGAAAATAAGAAAATGTTAAACTGCGCGATAAGCAGATTAGATTTAATTAATATTTCCTAAAAATCTTGATTATAACACAAAATGTTTCAACTATGAACAAGGAATGTTAATTTATAAATTCAGGTATTTAATTATACTACAGATAGATATTGTGTAATTACTAAAATCGCAACATGCATTATTGTGTATTTTTTATTAAATTATTACAATATTTAAATCCCTTTGTTTAACGGGTTATACCTACAATTACGCAATTACGGGTTTAGCACGATAGAAGTTATTATGGAATCGGAATGTGCGTTCCCCCCTCCCCCCCAACTGAGAACTATTCTGGTGATCTAAATTTATCGAACTGCTAAACATTTATACCTACCATGTGGTTATTCTGCAATCATGTAACAATCAATCTTCAAAACATTCGCGTAGATTTATTTACAGTTGAAATAATAAACGTCACTTTTTTCACAATTTTTAATATTTCAGAATTCACACACAGAGTATATTTTCTTTGTCAAAAACAGAAAATAGTTGCGGTAACAAATTATAAAATATAATATAAAATTATCAATATCAAACTATAGTAAATATTCAATGTGTTATTTATTTTCATTAAAAATAGTTAGATATAAGACTCGAACATATTTCGTTTCTTTTTTTTTTTACATGAACGCGATGTGCTCTTCAAGCAAATTTGTTCCTATCCAATTTTTTTCAAATACTCGAAATAATATTCACGTTGTCTTTTTATTTCTGTTGCTCATATTTGAACGATATTATCACGGAATATCAATCTTGTTATTTAATATTGGCTGCGAATTCCAGCCGCACTTTCGCCGTTCTTGGACCAATATCACTTCCCTTAGCTTCCTATTATGGTGCTGGAAGGAATTTCATATTTATCATGGATATTGTTTTCCTCTCTCATGCCCCTTATTTGTATTCAATGCATTGAGATAGCTCATATCATAGATATACTGCAGAGAGATGAAGCATTGCCGAGAAGTTTTGGTTCACCGTATGTGTGTTTGAAATAACATTTTCCCTCAATGTCGTGTTTTGATGCAATCTCTCTAGCCCAGATGGGACTATTCTGTATAGAAAATATGATTGTTTTTCGTAGGAAACAGAATAGGTACACTCAATTAATATTCTGAGTACAGATATGTCAAATCTGATAGTACATTCTCTTAGAAAAGAAACACCAAGCATGATATATTTTACGTGCGTAGACAAGAGAATGCCAGAGAACATAAATTATTCGGATTACAAAAATATTTCTTTTTCAATCAAGTCAAAATTTTTAGACAAATTAATATTTAAAAATTAACATTTTTTTGTAAAAAGAGAATTGTACATAATATAAATGATATAGATTCAAAACAAATTTGGATCATATCAAATTATATTTCAGAGTCATACTTTCGTATGAGATCTATAGAAAAAGAGTTTAAATTTATATATTTTATACTTTCTTTAATGTCATGTTCGAGATTTATTTAATGTAACGTGAAATATCTCGCGTACACATATACGTGCGACATTGCACGACGCGCTTTACACACGCTGATGAACGCTCGCTCGAGAAAGGTTCACATCGTTTCCATGCATTGTGCGCAAAGGTAAATCGTCGTGGGAAACGCAAGCTGCCAGTAATTCTGACGGGAACGAAAGTTCAGCCACCAACGACGAAGATGGCGAAGAAACTCGAAAATCCTCGAAGCGCGGCGCGCCTCGACGAAGTGAGGAGCCGATAAAAAAGAAGCAATGGAACAGGAGGAAGCTACCGACGATCGTTTACACGGATGCACAATTATCCGGTCTCTTGAAGGACGTCATCGACGGGAGTAAGTATCGCTGCCCTCTCATGGTCTTCCTCCCTTCTGACGTGCATCCGCGTTTTTGTGATTAATGAGAGCGTACTTGTCGCAAGAGAACGGCGCGTGCAACATATCCCTCGCTTCCTTCACGCAGGATAAATGTTCTCCTTGCCGGAGAAAAGGGACAACGATGATTTGCAGAAGCCATTGCGCAGAAAAAAAAGAGATGACTTGTCGGAAAAACAGCTTCTCAAGTCACTGTTTGGAGTATGTCACGTTACGAGCTTCGTGAATCCTACAAAAAAAGAAGTTGTTTTTAGAGGAGATTTATCATTCTAATTCTGTTATGCAAATCTACTTTGAATAATTTGCGAATAATATAGTAATTTATAATATTTATAAAGTGTCCAAAAGAATTATAAAATATTGCATCTTTTTTTGAAATATTATATTATTCGATTAATCAACTAAGGACTAACAAATAATATTTAATTGACTATTATCGGCTAGCAAAACTAACTTGTTAAAAGAAATTACATTAATTTGAAAACTCTCGAAAAAAAATCTCGCGTTAAATCAGACATGGGAGAGGCGTTGGAATGGATCAAGGAATCTCTGCAAGACGTTTTGGACGAACGTGACGAAGAGAGCTCCGAGGGCATACCCTTGGTGCCACTGACAGATTACTCGTTGGCCGCGATGGATTCACCGAGTTTTCAAAAGCTCCTTCGCGCCATGGGATTTGTGCCACCGGCTGATGGCCAGGAATCTTACTGGCGTATCCCAGCGAATATACTTACAACCATACTTCAAAAACGCTACAAACTCATCGAAGACGCTTTAGCCGGCGAATTCATTGTTGAGGGTAAGTGGTTTAGCAAATGTGATGTTCGAATGACGATCATTTACCGAAGCATATTTTAGAAACGCGTAAAGATCATTCCGATACTGATGAAAAGATGGATGATGACAGCGAAGATGATATCGATGTGTTCGAGCACGTTAAAAAGTTCTTTGCGCCCAGAGGTCAGTGCATACTTTTTTGGTAACCTTATCGGAAAAATATGTATCATCATAGAGATTTTTCGCAGAAAAACTTTACATGTTATCACAAAATATTTTCCGAGCTGCCTGAAAGGCAATCAATTTATCATTGATTTAAATTAAAATTTATAAGTTACTTTTTTATGAACTAATTTCAAAAGTTTTTCAAATTGAGATTTATCATGGCAGCGCGCGTACATTTAATCCTGGAATGTTACTGTGGATAAATTTTTATCTTAGTGCTAATTCAAATTTAGTATAACTTTTTTGATTAAAATTTTAATAGTTTAACATAATATTTAATAAAAGTTTATTTTTTTTATATTAAAATAGTGTTAGTTCAGTTATTCTACACTTTGCAACTTATAGAATATATATAAAATAAAAAATGTTAAAGGGGGGATTCCTAATTATGTGGATGAATTTTCAGATGTAAAAAAAGTATGTGTAGCATTCTAAGATTAAAATATACGATTTCTTACTTTCATAATGTATAAAAATCTATAAAAAAAAAATGTTGAATTATTTTTAGAACCAAAACCATCAACTTCCGAACAGTCAGAAATATCCACTAAAATTCAATCACAGAAATCTAAAACATTGACATTAAACAACAAAAGTGATGAAACAGAAGTTACAGAAAAAAATGATGAAGTAGAAATTATAGAAAAAAATGACGAAGCGAAAGTTCCAGTAAAAACAAATAAAGGTACTTTACTATCAATTTAACTATTCTAATGAATAAGCGACACAGAATAACATTTCCTCGCCCTCTGTTACTCGAACTAGTAAACCACTGTTCCTTTATCATGAGTTTACCGACAAATAAATTTATCAAGTTAAACTTTTAGACATTAGTCATAATATTCACACTAATACAAAATTTTAGAAAGCATAAGCAAGATGAGAAATCGAATAAGGGTGCTCGACGATTCCTCTGAATCGGAAATGGAAATTGAAAGAGATGTCGATGATAAGAACGGTCAGTATTGCTGATAAAAAATAGGAATCGATCGACCCTTTTATTACTGATCACGCATTAATCGTAAATTTCCGTAAATTTTACAGACGACATAAAGAGAGATAGATCCGATTCTTCATCTGATAAGGATAAACCGTCTACTAAGAAACGTCGACTACTCGATAGTGACGAGGAGGAAGAGCCGCTAAGAAGTAATTATACCGAAGCAAGTGGCGCTCGCGTAATAATTAGCGATGATGAAGAATCATTACCCAATGTTGCGATCTGAACGGCCCGCATTATCTCGCATAATAATAAGCGTCGAAGAAGATTAGGAGAATTTATATATTCGTTATTCTAGATATTTAAAATATTCTTGAACATTCAAAATGTTATAATATATCACAACATATTCTTTTACATCTTTTATTCAATCCCTTAACTGAAATAATAATTAAGACAAGAATTAAATTAAAATACATTTTATCGATTATTCTACTATAATAAATATACTTTACTAAGATTAAAAATTGCTGCGATAAAAAAAAATCGAGATAAATGTTCAATTTTAAGTTAGTGAAAATCATAATTAACATAATTATGCTATATGTTGAGAACTAAATTTATTTTTAATTCAATTTTGAGATACGAATGTTACAGCTTTAACATTGTTAACTTCAGTTGGGAAGGCGAAAATCGAGAGATTTACAGGTACCGGCTTTATCCGCGAGCGCTCGTACTGGAACATACATCCTAGGCGTTCAATAGCTTCGTCAAGGTCCCACGTGCTCCTCATCGCGGTAAGCCCTTGCGAACAATCAGTGGTACCCAGCATACACTCCAGGGTGCCAAGAAAAACAGTTCCTGAAAGGCGTCCACATTTCGCCAAGGAACGACGAAGAGAACATGCGAGCGCGGCGGTGCCGACTGGCGAAGGTATCTTCAGCGTTACCGCGCCGTTGGCTGTAGGTCATCGACCCTGGTCACGTGACGACCTAAACAGTCTCGCGTTGCGCGATCAACCTCCTCGATCACGTGTTTCCCGGTTCAGCGGTTGGTCAATGCGGCTGACTTTATGTCTTTTGATGGGCAGGTGAGGAGTCTTGGCGAGTGTTAACGATACGTACGTGTGCATCGAGACGTAATCGTGCGACGAAAGACCAGCTCTCACCTTTTTCGATGCCCACCTTTGACGGCTATCGACCATCCACAGACCAAGAGAGAATCGATACAACAGGACTCGCGGATATACGATCAGGAAATCATGCCGGGTCAAGAATCGTGAAAAACGCCTAGCTGCGAATCTAGTCGCGAATATGTTGTCACGTGTGACAAGACGCCAAGCCTTATGTAAATTTATATGCATAACTAATCGCCAATTCGATAAGACGTCGATTGATATCTTTTCCTTTATTTTCTTCATTTCTAATTCTTATATTATTTTATTATTTCATTACATTATTATTTTTATATTTCATATTTATTTTATCACTTATTATTTTATTATATCTAAATCATTTAAATAATACATGTATTTAATGATAAAAGAAACAAAATTCCTGTTCATTGATTTCCTTTTATAATATTTCTGCTTCTTACTTTATTTTATGTTGTCCATGTATGTTTTCTTATAATACTATATTTTTTATTATATTTTTATTGTTATTTTATCATTTATCTTATTTTTTGTCCTTTATTTTATGTTTACAAATCTTATGTATATAAAAAATATACATAAGAACACATTTCTTTTCTTACCTTTATTGATTCCTTTATTACTGTTATTGTAATATGAAATCGAACCTCAGCGAAAATATTGGCGCTACCTATCAGGAGTAGCTGACGAACAGTAAGCAGAGTCTGAATGCATCTATGAGCAGCAAGCAGCATCTACTTGCGTTCGAGAGGGACATGTCTACAGTGGTAACTAGAGACGCCGATCATCGTTCCGTCATCTTCGTCACTGTAGAACGACCAGATTCCAGAAGGGTGACTACGTGCATTCTAATCTCAACTTTTAGATGCCAGGTATGCATGACACAGTAGGAAGTAAACCGTTGCGGCGAGTCCACTCCACGTGGAATCCGAGGTGCTACGGACGCTACGGTCAGGACACGTAGCTGCCGTGATAAGATAGCATGCGAAAGAGTTAGTAGACCGCAGCCAACACGTTTCTTATGATCTCCGGGTAGAAGCGCGGGCTTCTTATACGGTTGTAGGTGGATGGCATCTCCTCTCTCTTTGTGAACGGTATCCCCACTCTATCGGCGCACCCTTCCACATCCGTATTCTTCCCCCTCTCCGTACATTCTATATCTATACCTTTAGCCAGGTACGGTGCAATGGAATTGTGAGACGATTTTTAAAAGCAAACAGATCAGACAAAAAGGAATCAGACATACAACGAAGGTACTATCAATCTAAAACGAATATACAGTATATAACAATCTCTTTTAAACATCTAAATAAAAATTGTTGAAATTAATTTTCTTCTTAATTATATCTAAAACTTAAAATAATAAAGAAGAGTCGGACACATTTAAGCGACTGTGTAACATTTACTGATATCAATCTTTATAGTTTTGTGTCTAGAAAGAGATCGCAGTGACATTTAAACCTTAATTAATTTATTTAACACTTGAAAATTGTTTTACATTATTAATACTATAATATAATAAATAATTAGTCTCTAAAATATTATTCAGAATGAATGATAAAATAAGAGATATAAAATGATTTTCAATATGTAGTTGAAATGTGAAAAAGATAATAAATCATAGATTAACTATCTCTATGTACTTTATATAAAAAAATTTACATTTCTTTTAAATTATTTGAACAATCGACATTCTGTATTTATATTCACATTAATTACACGAATCATCTGTCGGTTGTGTATCGCCATCTTATTAGGAAAGTATAAATACAAACAAGTTTCTGTCAGTCACTAATCTCGTATGAGCAATGTTCAATTTTAGATTCATATCATCTGATGTTTAAATATTTAGATAAAAGAAAATTATTTATATGAGAATAGCTCTATTTTTTACGTAAAACATTTTTTAACATTGCATTGTAGAAGTATGTAGAGAATTATAGGTATTATGTATTTGTAATCAATTACAATACACACATTCCATTTCAACTGTTACTATCAAATATATTTACAAGGTTCTTATATATTAAAAACAAAGAGATATTAAGCTATAAATTTTAATTCATTCATTTATATCAGAAATAGTGCGTAACATTATAGAATTTGACATTGCCATACTTATTATCTGTAACATAAAGTTTATATTTTTATTTCAGAATAAAGACTCGTAAATTTTTTATTGCATGAATTAATACACAATTGTAATCCATTCTCATGATTTACATTTATTAATATAAAAGTAAAAAGGGTTTTGTGTAGCTCCAAAAATAAATCAAATGTAAAAAGCCTATATGAACTTTCGTGGTTGTTGGTGCGTAAATAACATATTTATAAAGCGATAAGATATAATTCACAAACAGTTGGAGTTAATTTCGTTGGAAAATACGTTCCTATTGTTTTTGAATTTAACTTTGTGTGTCGCTTTATAAATATTATTTGCACATCAACAATCAAGCGGAAAATCATAGGCATTTTACATTTGATTTATATTTATACGTATAAATTTTTATAGTTTCGTAAAAATACTTTATGCGAAAATATATATATGATAAATAAAATACTATAATATTTATTAATAATAAAACATTCTTTGCATATATAATAATACTGCAAAAAGAAATCAAAAATTCTGTGGAATTTGTACGTTTTGGAAAGTTATATATGGAATTCTAGGAATAATATAAAATGAATTAAACAAATATATAAAAATTGTCTCACATAACATTGCTTACAACTCTGAAAGTTTCCAATGAGAGAACGTAAAATGGGCCACCGGTTAAAACAATCGGCCTCTGTGCTCGTACCATAATCGTTTGTACTAATCGACCGACGTTATAAAGTTTTAATTGCTTTCCGAAATCCATTTGCTCTCTTTTTTCAATGGCCATAAACTCCCATCCACAAGAATATACTGAATGCGCAATTTGCAAGCCCTAGAATGGTATAAAAATTAAAATTAATGTAGAGTGGGTAATATAAAATACCGTTGTATTTAATAATTCTAGATTGTTATTCATTACTGTACATTGTTCTCATTTTAAAGCTCTTAAGAGTACAGTAGAAGAAAGATTTTAGTACCTCTTGACATAAATGGAACTAACCAAATGTTCGAGTTGAGTGACAAAGAAACAGAAAACATACAGTTGAAAGGCGGCACATAAAAAATATTCAAGCAAAGACCATAATTTCAAAATAGATTCCATATCAATCTGTCGAGATGTATAAACATTGTAGTTTAATAATTCTAATGACAGCATTAAATATACAGAATATTCGGGTGCATCAAATATGCGTGTCGTCGAATACAATACTTTGTAAAATAATTCGTACCGCAACTTTAATCGCTGATGCTTCGAATGAGACTAAACAAATGATAATTAATGTTTCGATGCATTGCACGAACATTGTTGGACCGCTAAAGGTTTGCAACATTTTTAGAAATCTAGAAATATATACATATTTCTTAAATGCGATTAACAAAGGATTATTTCGAAATTGCGATATACAATCAAATATCAAAGGTTTAATTGAGAGAGACACAAAATTATTAATGAAACATAAACCATACCCGGTAAAAAATTTTTTATACATTAATATATGTATAAATATGTATAAACATACATAAACACGCATAAATATTCATAATTATATATAATTATACATGAAATATGTCCATACATCTCTTTCTTTTGTAAAATTACTTTTTAGTGTACTAAAAATAATAATAATATTGAAAAAACATCAAAAATAATTAATGGGACTATTTTCACATTGTTTTTTTTTTTTTTTCAGAAAAAATCAAGTTTGGAAAAATATAAAAAAATTTGCTCTTACATAACATATGTATAATTTTACATGCAATATATATGAGCAATTCTTTTACATTTTTCCAAACTTGATTTTTTCTAAAACAAACAACGCGAAAATTTTCCTTTTAATTATTTTTGATGTTTTCTCATTGTTATTATTATTATTATTGTTAGTACATTAAAAAGTAATTTTACAAACTGAAGACGGATGTATAAATATGTATGAACATATCTCATACATAATTATATATGTTTATGAATATTTATACATGTTTATACATATTTATATATATTGATGCATGAAAAATTTTTTACCGAGTATTATTAATATAATATTAATAGATATTTTAGATTCATAAGATATTACATAATTACATAATGTATAAATATAACAATATTATATTATGATTTTGCAACATAATCTAAGTGAAAACATTACTTTATAATCTCCGTATGACAATTCACGCAATTCTTTAATTTGTTCTCGAGAACGAAGATAGCTTCTGGCACGCTGTAATTTCCAAAAATATTTTATTTTCTCATAATTAAAGAGTTTGTTTTAAAATAATCGTACATAACAAATAATACTTGTCAAAATCGATTTTCATCAATATGATATTGATGTATTGAAATTGTGCGCAGATGACCATCAACGTGGTGACGTAAAAAGTGTCGTAGCAAATAATTCCAAGCGCAGAAGATATTCCGCCGATTATCTGCATGAGATATAGGCAAACATAATTATAAATATCGTTGGTATTTATCGGATACCATCCGACATACGGTAAATTTCTTTTTTTTAATGTTTGATTAATTGAATTTATCTGATTGGGTGCCCATTCTAGGAGCAATGGATTGGCACACCAATGTAGAACGCCGTAAATGCAAGCAAACGTCCAACAGCACACAAAGAAATTAGAATATTTACGCGTGTGTTCCATTTCATTCCTATATATTCGATATCCTAATAAAAATTTTTCATTAGCAATTTCAATATACATAAATAATTTTAAATATTAATGATTTATAAAAAAAACTATTATATTAAAGAACGTAGATTGCATTTTTTAAATCAACATACAGTGTGGAAAATTATCTCATAAATATTCACTAACAATAAGTATGAAGCATCAAAAGTTGTACGATGCAACGTAATTAATAATACAATCTTTCTTTATTCATCTCTGACGGAAAGTGATTTATAATATATCTGCCGCGATATTTTAAAAACTTTATATTGAAAAACACAAATAAGTTACTGGCAATAATAGTTAATTGACGTACCTTCCTCGCTGTTATCGATACGTTGGCAAAGTACATGACATTTTTCTAACTTCTCCACAAGATCGATGATTTCTCTATTTTTCCGTATACAATAACACCATTTTATTAGACCCACGACATGCATGCCGATTACTCCAATGATGTTAGCAAATAATTTCAGATCATTGTTCATCGTAAGCGCCACTATTTCCGAGAACAGAAGCAGGAAGTTTGTCAATATGAATACAATCGTTGCTGCCGTTGAAAGTAATATTTTAAGAAGCGAAAATGATTTGACGGGCCAGATACAGGCATATCCGAGTACCAAAAGCAAATTCGCAATGTAATACTCTAAAGATATTATGTCTTCTCTTCTGCACGCTTTGTTATTCTCGCTCTTGCGATTCATATTTAGAAAGAGGAGAGGGGTGGGCGAATGCATATCTGAAAAATCAAAACGAGAACCATCCTTTGCCTGAAGATGTGTGTCCGTGTATTCGTACAGTTCATTCGCGCGAAAAGATACTTGGTTTCGCGCAAGTACGCGAGGAACATAATACGGCTCTTGTTTCGCATATTCCCCGGATACATGTACACCGGACAATTACGTACGTTACGTCAGACGACCTGAGACTCGCGTATGTACGTACACGGTCCGGCTCACGGACAGTCTCACGAGGCGGTGAGTTTTATCGGTGGATTGTACATGCGGCGAACACGTTCGTGTAATCGGCAAACAGAAGATAAAGGCTCTTGTTTCTGTTTATAAGTAAAAGTATCTCGTCGCGAGAAAATTATCACAGCTGATTCGAAATACGTATAATAATGATAAGATTTACAATTTTTTTTTCTGATTAGTAATTTCTGACGACTACTTTATACACTCGATGTCTTGTAATTTCTGTGTATAATAGTGCTATTGATATAATAATATAAATAATATAAACATATTTGACTATTGTATTTGATAGGTATTATGATGACGTTACCCTTCGATCGATTAATGCCCGTATTCATAGTCAGTACCTTGTACTTAAGGCTTCCTTAAATTTATCTTTAGATGCTCAGTAATCAATGAAATAATTCGTAAAATATCTAAAGATAAATTTAAAGAAGCTTTAAATATAAGACCTGACTATGAATACGGACATAAGTTAGACTTTGAAGGCACAATTAATATTTTGATTGTAATTTCTGGTAGATAAATTTAAATCTGTAAAAAAATAAGTAAAATGCAATCCGACTTCTATGATAGTAAAAACTCGTTATTAAAGCTTTCACAAATTTGCAAGTACTTTTTTTTAGATTTTTAGACAGTCGAGAACAATATAAAAATCTTTACTGAAACTTAAAGACTCAGATGCTGACAAAATTCCACATGGCTGATGATTAATATAAATTTTTCACCAGTGTATTGGAAAATATTTCTCTGTGCATTGCGTTATATTAATCTACTATACTGGAACCTCATAATAGCGCGCGCTCGGGGACTCTGAGTGCGCTATATCGAGGTAACTCCCAAACCGAAATCCAGGATAGTTACGGTATCATTTCAGCAAGCACTTTAAGGATATATATTACACATATTTTCAAAATGATGAAAAAATTACAAATTATTTTAGATCGCATTCAAAAGAAATACACAAAATTTAACGATTCACCATCTGGATCAAAAGTTATTTCCATAAGAAGTAGTATTTTTTATATTTGCGTTCTAATAGAAACATATGGAAATTTATTATAAAATAATGACAAAAATCTCAAGTTTTTTGTGTAAGTACTTAAGTATTCGAGATACTTTATGTAAAGTTACATTGCGATGCACAGAGATTAGTTGTTCTGTAAATAAACAAAATACTTATTTTTTTCTACCTTTGTAACTAATCTTCAAATCGTAATGAAATTTTGTGTAAATCATCTTGAATACTTAAAGTACTTATACAAAAAAATTAAAATTTTTGTCATCGTGTTTTTAATTTTAATTTATAACAATAACAATAAATATATATTAAATAATAAAATAAATACACCAAAGTACAATTTTGCGCAAACCTGCACGAACACGTCGCGAGCTGCTACGTTACTGCATATATTGTTATCCCCACTTACGTTATTCACGTACGTCGCATATGGAGGGGATGATTCACGCTATTTCGAGGTACGTTATTAAGAAGTTCCAGTGTAATTTAAATCATAATAACGTAATGAGAGAGGACTATTTCTAACACTTTAACGTGACAGAGCTCGTGCAGCGATTCTCTCAGCGTCATACAATACCACTCGTACTATTTGCACGCGTAGCAATTTTCGTTCTGCAAGGCGATCCTTGTACTTAGGGACAACTTACCCCGGAGTTTCCGGGATCGTGGGACGTTCTCGGCAACTGCAATGCGCGTGTCTCGGTCGCTCGGATCTCGGGCATGATTTATGCAAGCAAATAAATGTCTCCGTCGTGTCATTAGATCGGTTCGTTTGAAATGCAAATAGCATTTGCAGCGCGCATCGGATACACTCTCCAATTAAGTGTCCGCGCAAACTTTTCTCGTGGCCCGGTCGCGCTGGAAGTTTGCAGGTACTTTGAAGTCGGATATAGATTCGCCGTAGGACCGAGCGTGAAACTTGATATCTAATTACATCTCCCGAGTCACCACCGGAAGCAGGATCGTTGATTCCCTTCTGTGCACGCGTGTTTCTGACTGGGTGGGTGGAGGTGAGCGACTCCCTTGGTTAATCTTCGGGCCCTAGCTTGCCTGGCTTCCGTTTGCCGCCAGTATCGCGTCGTCTCTATCAGCCGTTACATACGATGAAAGGCGGAATCGTGTAATCGCATTTCGCTCTTAATCTAATTGAAATCTGCCACTGACGCGTCCGCGAGGACTTTTGCAGTTATCGACGCGTTTTCGATTTGTATCTCATCGTCAGCGAACGAATGTCCGCAGGAAAACATCGAAGCCAGTTATTTAATCCACCAGTGCACGAACGCGATCTATAACGAAGATATAGAGAAATGTAATCAGTGCTGTTAGATAGAAATGTAATTTCGAGAGACGTCGGATATACTCTAGAAAGGTTTGTTATATCTAGTTTAAGATTTACATGAGAAGAATCATTTCCCAGTCAAATTCTCTTGGTTAATGAATTTCAAAAATTATGCACACATTCAGTGATGGAACTTTAATCACAAAGAGCAAGTTTCCTTGTTGTAATTTTTAAATCTGCTCAAAACAAATAAGTCTCTATGGAATAATACCGGTATAATCGATTCTTATTTAAGACTGTCTTAAGTACAGTTTTAAGATGTCATAAATCAGTTACAGAATAATATCTTAAAATATTACTTAAGATGATTGAAATAGGAACGAACTATGAATACCAGCCTATGCATTACATTGATTCCATTCATTTTCCTGTTATTCAACTACCTTATTCATGTTAGTGCTTGCGCACGTCGTGTTGGCAATACGTGGATTAGTGTGAATGCAAGCGGAGCGTGGAGCGGTCGGGCCGAGTTTTCGGAAGTATCGAACGGGTTCCGTGTCTCACTCACGGTCCCTTCCCCTGTCCCCGTGCTCTCCTTGCGCCCCGTTGGTCCCGGAGAACTCTACTTTGGTGATAGTATCCTGCCGCTCGTGTTGTCCGACGCGTTGCCGAATTTTGGCAATGATTGATGGCTATTAAGGACCGGGCCAAACCCGCTCCGCTTATTCCGCGCGCTATACCCCCAACGGCGTGTACCACGCGCTCGCACCGCTATATTTGCGAGATCGCAATTAAACCAAAAATAGCGCACCTCGTGAAACCCACCAGGGCTGGACCAACGTTCCGTCAGCACCCGCGGGGAATTCTCACTTCAGAAGTCAGCCACAAAGATACAACTCATTTTTCTACGTTACTGGATATCTGGAAAATGTTGCGCGCGAGTAAAAGTACATAAATATTATATTGAAATTATATTGAGTCTTTGAAGGTGAATGATGCAACATAAAGACAAAACATTTTTATACATGTTATACTATATTGTTCATCACAAATTGTGTTACGAGTTGCGTTGCAACAGTTACAATTATTATATTTTTTGGTCATTTCAGTGCTCCATTGGGATTAAATATCTCCTTTCTACCATTATCGCGCATTTGGATTCGAAGTTTGAGAGCTACGAATTGCCAAATATCAACGTATATTTATCCTCGTATAATCAAATCAAGTGCACCGATCGCGATCTCGCTTTCAGGGATGCCGTTGTATCCCGGTGTTGCACAACGACGCTTGTTGGGGATGGGATTGCAGTTCGACGAAGGGCTCGAAGGGGCGGACGAAGGGAAAGATCGATGGTCGCTGGCAGGAGAGGCGAGCGTCGATGAAAAGGTCAAAGGTTTCAGGTGTGTTTGCGCTTCGCGCACGGCTGGTACAGGTGCAGCCTCTTCCGCGGCTCTGCTTGCCGTTGCAACAGCAACATACATGACTCTTTATTAACAACAATTAACATTTGGTCCATTGTTCATACAAGGATATCTCTCGTTGACAGTGAGCGACACCGTCTGGCTGTCGCAGTTGAAATAACACGAACCTGGTCTCTGGCCTGATGCAATTGTGAAATACCATCGACGGAATTGAGCAAATCAGCCGTAATTTTGCAAGATTATTGCAATGATAAAGTATGACGCATTTTCGTTGTAAACAGCAACGTTGACTACTTCTAACTTTGGGTGTCAACGAATATTCCTGTATTATGCAGTAATACTAGCTAAATGGAGAATGAAGTAGATAAATAGCAAGATGAAATGAGAAATGAATGCTATAAGATAATTAATTCAGTGTAAGTGTATTGAGGCATTATTCTTTGCTGTATATATGTCTACCTCTCAGTTTGTATTTTATAAAACTCTCGTTAAAACATTAACATATTTAATTACCTAACTTAAATTACATTAAAATTACAGCAGCGTCTTTATTAACGTTTTACACTTTTAATCATCATAATGAGTAATAAACTGGTCTGTAATTATATAACAATACATTTGCACTTATTATGTTTTTAATTATCAATTATTATTGACGGTCTCTTTCTTTATGGTCAAATTCGTTTTTTATCTCACGATGGACAGGTCTCTCGGATGCGTTTGGTGTAATGTATTTACCATAATCGACCCAATTGTCAATCCATAGAGGATCGATTGAAGGCCGGCTGATAAGGTTCGCGGGTAGCAGGCGAGTATACGCGCGAGCAAGATAATTGGCTCCGTAATGACAATCTCGAGCTATGACCTCGGAGTTGTGCTCGACCGGCAAGAACCAGCTTGCCCGTCGTGTTTCCCCGTTCCAAAGATTTACCAGTCTCCGGTTATGTTTGATGCACCATTATGTTTTCGATTACGGTAGGTTAGTTGCATCGGTAACGTCATCTCTGTCGTCAGCAACACGCCTCCGATACGTCAAAGCTAGCGAAACACGTAATTGTTCGTCACGCGTACTGTCACCGATGCACGCGACAATACTGTGTAAAGAACTCTCGGCGAACTTATTGTTGCATTATGAGGAAATAGCACTAATTTTTTTCTCCTCCGCTTTGATGACCGCGTTTCTTGCACGAATAATAATTAATGACTGCCGAATTTGCGCAAAATATTAGATTGAGGATCAAGGAAAGTATTTCAATACTTGAAAGTATTTCGAAATCGTTTTTCCCCTAGATGTATTATAATTTGAGTTTTTCTTTCCATATATAACTTAATAATGTAGTACATATGCGCACATGATGTTATTAATAAATATTTAACTGTATTTAGTACTGATTTAACTGTATTTAGTACTGAAGATATTTTGAGAATTGCCAATTGAGAATGCATAACTTTCATTCTTTTTTTACGTATATCAAATCATTACGTAATCATTTATTATAAAAGAAAATGATATTTTTATTATTTCGAATGCTAGTACTAATATTTGATGACGATAATGATATTTAATGTGATACCAGTGTTATATGTATTATTAATAATGATAAATAATGAAGAATGTTCTTTCGTCGACTATATCGTCATTCGGCTGATATTGCTGGTAATAATTCGTTTGATATATAAACGGTATATCGAGTGCAGATAAATTGTGGTTAGCAAAAGATAAGAAGCTGGTAAAGTCGACGTAGAGGATATTTTTGTAACAGCAAAGCAGAAATGGCAGAAGCTAGTTCCACTAGACTTCTATATGCATATGATTATTGCAACGTCGGTCATATGTGTATAGACATGATAAATTCTGATTGAACAATATAATTCTTAGCGAATTATACATTATAATTGTATGCCTAAAGCAATTTTTAAATTAAATTTGAAAGTCAAATTGAATTTTGCAAGCACGCTCTTCGGTAATGTTTTTTTAAAAAATTCAATCTTGTGTTAAAACTTTTAGAGAAGAATTTATGCACATTTTGTTTTCAGAAGAATTTGAGTATATTTTAGATATAAAATTCTTCATCCTACCTCATATAACTTTAAATAAAGCATATTCTGGAGATTAATTAAAGTTTATACTTGTTTGTATAAGTTGGAAAATTAAACATACAGTTTATTATTATTATTATTTCTCTTTTTTAAACTTTTATGTCACGAAGAGAAAAAATGTGTAATTTTAATTCTCGAGATATAAAAATTTGATATGAAATAATACCGCGAGATCGTAATTAGCCGTGTTTTTTCGCGTGTATGTATGAAACGAAGTAATCTAACAACAAGAGAAAAAGAGGAGGAATCGGGCGACAGCGGAGTAACCATGAGGTAATTTTTATTTCTTGTTATGTTAATTTATACTTTAAATAGCAAAGGAATAGAAAATTAAATTAATAGAAAGAAAATGAAATTAATTAAATACAATGTAGATTTTGATACATATATATATTTACAAGTATTAATATAAACATTAGTATATATACTGGAATAAAATTTAATATAAAATTTTGATGATCAATTCTTGCTACATTTCCTTAAAGATAAATCTGTATAATATTTCATCGGCAGTAAAGGAAATGAGAGTAGTTAAAAAAATTAATACTATGCAATAAGCAATAGTCAATAAAAAAAACATTATAAAATATATGTACAAGACATTTAATTTTTCTAAGATTAATTATATATAAGTATGTATAAAATTGTTATTTTTTATGTTACATAAGGATAATTACACAATTAAAAATGCATTGAAATAATTTTATATATTTGCAAAATAAATAACTATATTCAATATTATATATATTGTATATCTATTTTTTATAGAAACATGTATATAAATAATACGGAGAATAACGTCTTAAGTTAGGACGGCGGAGTTGTGCTATCAGATCGAAGTTGCGATGGCGCAGCTTCGCTGTATGCGATATCGAAGACGCTTTTTTTTTCGAGAAGTTGTTGATGACGTAGACGACCGCCACTTTGAAATGACGCTGCATTTTCTGACTGCAGATCACTCTCGGATTGTTCGTATTGCGATCCACACGGTTGCATTTCGAGACATCTTTCTGGAGATAACTGTGGCGATGGATGCGGCGCCGGGGGTGGATGAAGATAAAATGGAGGTGGTATTCTCTCGTATTTGTATTCCGAGTGTTGCAGCAGACGATGTTGCGAGTCCGAAATAGAGACCGGTGGTGATCTGGCGAATATCTGAATCGTCGGATCCTCCTTGAGACTACCCTCGGCCCTTCTTAATTGTCGTCCTTGACGCACAATGGCCTTCAACTGCTCTGATTCGACGTTCACTAGAGGTTTGATCTTGCGTCTGGTACGCGGCGTCATCTCTGGAGTTTTGCGCTCCCTTGTTAGCTTCTCTCTTTGCTTTGTTGTTTGCTTCAAGCTTCTACTTACCCAGCGTGGTAGCTGTTCCTCGTCATCTGCTGCTTTCTTCTCTAATCTCTTTTTCTCTGTTTCCTCGCGTTTCTTATTGTACCAAGCCATGTACTTTGATTGCGTTTTACTCGTATCGACTTCGCCAGTTTTCGGAGGAATTGTAACTTTCTTGTCTGTTTTAAATTTGGATACCTGCTGTTTTCGAGGATGCTGTTCTTCTTCCCTTCGTGGCGATCGTTTCTGCGATTCACTACTTCTTTGCTTCTCTGAATCATCAATAAATTTACGAGATCGACGCTGAAAATAACTCGGCGTAGCTTTTTCTTCTGATTTATCAAGAACACGTTTTCTCGTCCTGGGTGAAGGCGCCTTCAATCGTTCAGATTTCTTTGTTTTCTTCACGAAACGTTCGGAAGGTATAGTTTTCGTAATATATTTTTTCGGAGTTAATACATCACTTTCTTTACCTCTTATTTTATCTATCTCAATGTCTTCAGTTTTAGTTTTGTCCATTTCAATGGTTTCAGTTACTATTTTATCTTTTTTCAGATCTATTTGCTCAGATTTACTTGAAGGCGACCTAGTTTTACTTTTATCATCTTGTTTCACAGATTCGGATATTTTTTCGGTCTTTTTACGAGGCGTAGCAATCTCGCTTTTAGATTCTGCGTCTTCCTTTGTTGTGGAAATTTCATCTTTAATATTTTCTTTTGGTATGCCATTTAATTCTTTAATACTTAGAGTCAAAGGAACTATGTCTTGAATTGTTGTCAATAAATTTTTTATTTCCGATTTTATATCAGTTTCTGGTTCTTCAATTTCGATTTTCGATTCGAAATCTTTATCTATTATAGCTTTATCGTTTCCCTCTTTTAAAAGAGATATAGACGAAATTCTTTCGTCGGAAAAAGTCCTTTCAGGTGTACCAACGATTTCAATATCTTCTTTTAATTCACTCGTTGATTCAGTTGTGATCGAATCTTCTGTCTTCTCAATTTCATCGAGTGATAAGTTGCTATCTGTATCCTCTTCTAGTTCGGTTTCTGTTCTTGCGTCTTCATCATCTTTGAAAGTTCTTACACCAGACATTCCCGCTATTTCAATGCTTTCTTGCTGCTGCCACTTTTGTCGATGGCGCGGAGTATCATAGGGTCTCGTGGTCAACGTTGTTTTCCTGGAAACATCACTGGATGAGTCGCTCTCCTCCGAAACATCGAGTGTATCATCAATAAAGTTGCTAAAAATTGGAACGCTTACGTCTGCTTGTTGGTCTCCTTCGTCTTGTGGCTCTGCTACGCTCTTAGAGATTATTACAAAACTCTCCACTATGTCTGGTTCACTGACAGTTGACTGTTGCAGATTCGAATCTTTCGGCATCTGGTCAATAGAAGATTCCTCATCAAGTACTTCAAAAGAAGTACTTGATAAGATAGTAAAAGCTTCTTCATCAGATTTTTCTTTTAATGTAGATATTTTTTTTGCTGCTTCTTCGTCTTCTTGGAACAGTGATTCTTCTTTCTCCTTTGTATGCTCAACTTGTAATTGTTCTTTAATAACTTCTTCTTTGGGAGTAGTGATGTCCATTAAAGATGTGAGAAGCTTATCTTCATCAAGTTTCTCTTCTTTCGTTTTGTGGATGTCAAATAGTCTTTCAGGAGATATGTGCAATTCTTTCTTAGTTTCATGGCTTTCAATTTCTGTCTTCGTAGTAAGATCGTCGCTTAAATGCTCCAATTCATCTTTATCGGTAGTTTTCTTTACAATATCTGGTATTTCGGTGAGTTCAGATCGAATCGTCTGATCAGTCGAATCGTGATCTGATTTTGATGCTTCGTCACTAGTTTCATCAATGTATAATAATGTATCATCATCAATTGCAAACGCTCTCTGAAAACCATTTAAATTTTTAGTATCATCTGTAAAAGGTCGGCTGGTATCTAACGATTCTTCAGATGCTGTAGTTGTTGATTCTTCTCTTTTCTCTACATCAAATTCCTGAGTTATATATTCTTTTGATCTCTCTACGTCACTTTTAATTTCACGTAACAACATTTCCTCTTCATTTTCTTTCTGTATTAATTCTTCTACCATCTTTTGTCCGATATCTGTTGCACCTTTTGTTGAAGAGATTTCCTTTTCAATATGTTTCTCTGATTCAAGATTTAATTCTTCTTTTTGATCACTTTCAGTTTTATATAATTCTTCAGTTTTGTCTGTTTTACTTGAATATAATGACATATATCCGTTTTCATGTTCTTCTTCTTTTTCTTCTTCTGTATACTCAGTTCTATCATTTGATTTGGTCAAACTTTCTATATGTTTCTCCAATGCAATCGCTTCTTCACTCGCAATCTCTTCGACAGCTTTCAATCTCTGTATTTCATGTAATTCTTTTTCTGATGTAACTTCCTCCTTTTCTAACATTTCTTGTTCGGTTTCATAGAAAGATTCTTCTGCTACTTCTTTATGCTTTCCAGATATATAAGCTATTCTTCTTTCAACAGCTCTTTTCCCACTGTAAGATGGCACTTCCTCTGTTTCTTCTAACGCTTTTGTGATAAGAGAATCTGAAGGCACTGTTCCCTTGCTACTGTCTTCCAATTCTCTTTTAGAGACTTCAAATATTTCAGATTGTTCTTTGCTTGGGATGTCTAATATTGTCTCACTTTTGTGTTGCGTATCTTCCAAATTTTGAACAATTGCGAGATCTTCAACAGTTTCCTTTAACGTCAAATGTTCTTTGTCAAAATCGTGATACACATCTTGCCCATTACTGCTGAAAACTTCACTTTCAACCGTAGCTTGCATTTGATGTTCTACCTTTTTTATCTGTGGTTCCATTACGAAGTCGTCAGAAAATTGTTGTATTATTTCGATATCTTCTTTACCATTTACAACGTCTTCTTTATCTATATTTCTACTCATTGTTGGAAGAAACACGGTTGGCTGATCGATGCCTCTTCTCTGCGATTCTGGCACAAAGTCATCAGAGAATTTCTCGCTTACATGTAGCCTCTGTTTCGATTTTTGTTGATCCGCGTGATTCGATGGAACTTCTGAAGACTCCATACTTTTCTTATCGAAATCGCGACTCATGAACGAATACTTTTTGCCATTTATACGATCGGAACTTGTACTCGTGCTTGGTTCCTCCGAGACGTGAACATGTTTCTTACGACCAATCGCTGCTAATTTTTGCATACGCGATGGTACTTTGGTAGTTTTGTCAGCCTTCGGTCTGCCGCTTTCTTTACTCGCGGCTTTTCTACGCTTCTCGAACTCTCGATCCTGTTGTGTGATTTGCTTTTTGCGTTCTTTACGTTCAAGCGTTTGCCTTTTCACTTTCGTATGGCTACTTGTTTGTTTGTGTTTTGCAGCTTCTTGAGAAGTTAATTTCGATTTCTCCGATTTTTCAAACGCATCCTCGTTCTCGGAACTACCGGCACTCATAATCTGCGGTTGTTGGTACTTAAATTTTTCTTTCTTCGTCTCTTTCGATATACTTGGAGAAATCTCAAACTGTTTGTACTTCTTTGCGTCCTCTGTTTTCTTCGATGTACTGTGATCTGAATCTTTCTTGGAATCCTGCGAGGATTTCTCCTGACTTGTACTTTCAGACCCAGTGGTCTGCTGTACTTTTTTATCAGCGAGTTTACTTAGTTTCTTCGTCAGCATTGTGATCTCTTTTTCTAAAACTCGAAAACTAGGTTTTATCACGGATTCTACCTTTTTTTGCTTCTTTATTCTACTTTCTTTCCTGGTACTTGTCTTTTCCGTTGTTTCTCGAATATAATTTCCATTATCAACACTTATTTCTGGAGAAGACGAGCTTTTCACTCTTTTCTCGTCAGAAAATTTATCATGTTGTTTATCTGCTTCCGTCGATGAAGAGGAACCATTTTTCTCGCCTAGTACTTTGTATCCAATATTGCTCTCTTTGTACTGTTGACAAGTTTTTGTTGACTTTTTTGCTTTCTCGCGACAAATACTTCCATTCTCGTCGAGAGAATCTGAGATTTCCCGCAAAACTTCAGGTTCCAAGGATACCTTCCGTTCCTCCTTTACTGCTTGTACTTTTTTCCTCAAGATGTTCAGTCGTTTGTCGAAACATGGGCCTTCCTCTTCCTTGATAGGCGTTTTCATCCATAAAGTTCGCGTTCTCAGTTCGCTTTCTCCGTGGCGTTTCTTCATCCTTTTTCGATTTCGGATATCCTCGTCGGACTCGTCATTATCACTTCTACTTCGGACATGTCGATCCGTTTGTGTCGCAGCGGCTCTGTCAGTCTGCGTCCCGATTGCTACTTGTCCGGGAAGACTTTGAGTCTCTAAGTAACTTGCGGCATCCATCATTACGCCACCAGCATGTCTAGATTCCCTCTCCAATAGTATTCTCGTCAATAGAGCGTTCTGTCTCGCCAGTTCCATATCGTGCAACGTGTATGATTGCATCGTGGTGGATTGCGTTTGGTCTTTAACGATTGATGGTCTATCTTTGGGCGATATCCCGGGTACATTTGTCGAGATCTCTTGATGACGAACGTCTCGCATCTGCAACTCCGCATCTATGTTTTGCGCCGCGTATTTATCGTCCATCGCTAGTTTTTGCGCACTAGATTCTAATTCTTCCGCTCGTCGACGTCTAACGTCCAGTTCTCCCGGTAGGAGAAGAATTTCCTGCTTGTGTTGATATAAATTTCTCGAACGTTGGTGAGAGTCGATGCTGCGTACTACCTCGGGTTCCTGTATAGGCAGTTCGTGCCGTGCTTTTTGATCTTGCATGAATCGCTGCAGAAGTACATCCTTGCCATCCACTATAAAAGTTGGATAATAGCGATGTTGACTTCTATCCTCCACTTGTCCGCGTGTTACTAATTGCAACACCTCTGCGTTACCCTCGCGATAAAAATGTTGCTCTCTTATCGCTGTCTCATTATTTAACTCAGGGTCGACGTATCTGTAATATGAAATATAATATGGAATATATCATCTTTTATTTTGGGAGAAATTTTATTGCAATATCTTTTAAATTTTTATTTTTAATTATTTACTATTTACCTTTGTCTGTAAGCTTGACACTGAATATCCGAACCACGTTCGATTTCGTGTCGTTGCAAAGAATCTGCTTCCGTAGCATCGTAATCTCTAGCCTTCCTCTCGACATCCTGTACGTATATTCTCTCTTGCTCTTCGAATCTCCTTCTCGAAGGATCATAGGCTGGGCCGTCACGTAGCCTCAATGATTCTACATTTGCTTGGTCAATTGGAGGACGCTCCGATATGTACACAACGTCACCAGGAAGCGATGCTAAGCCATCGTTCTTTGTATTTTGACGATTGAATTGCCAGTTTCTTCGAGTTGGATCTGCGCTCCAAGCTTGCTTTCTTCCATTTGATGTAATTACTGTTTAATATATCGATTATTTTAATAAATCACAAATTTTCTCTGTATAGAGATAATTTTCTAAATTTTATAAAACACAATAAAGCTGAATGTGATTATAATATTAACAAAAAATTATTTTGAGGAAATCTATCTAAACGTGAAATCTATCTAAACGTTAAAAATGAAAAGTTGACAAAGAATAATTACTGTCAATTGCAGGCGGTTTCCGATGAAGATGCCGTTTCGGTCGACCATCAGATCGAGCAATAAGCGTTTCCGATGAATGAACTCTGCGTTTTCTAGGTGCCATATAAAATGGGCAGCCTGGACATATACAACAGATAATGAGCGCCGCTATGGCCAGCAACATTAGCAGACCCAGAATAATCAGTAACCACAAGAGTAGTTTATTCTCCGCTTTGTACACAGTCTGAAAAAGAACCCTGATTTCTCATTTTTCTAAAATAGAAAATTACCAAATTGGAATAAAAGAAAAATATGATTTATAAAAATGCTACTTATCAAAACTTAAAATATAAAATAATCTGATCCTTGAAATGAATAAAATAATAACATAATCAATAATAAGATTGAAAGACCGCTAATGTTAACTACAATGCTTTAAATTAAGAAGCGCCATAACAGTCAGAACGTTAAGATGTTGAACTATTGTAAATTCATTTAAATGAATTCATTTAAATGAATTTACAATAGTTCAACATCTTAACGTTCTGACTGTTATGGCGCTTCTTAATTTAAAGCATTGTAATAACATAATATTTATAAACGACTTATTGCGCATATAGAAAGCTAGTAAAATATTTTTTAATATATCTAAAACTATCTAAAAGTAAGTTAATTAATAGTTAAAAAATAAATTAATAAGGAACATAATTTTTATGAAAAGTGCATCAAGTAATATAATTTTGAATACAAACTGATGTGTGATGAAGTTAACGAGTGTGGGCAATTAGCGTTTACTCACTACTTCGTCGTCATCGTCACTGATCGTTTTGTTTACATAGGTCTCTGTGTCTCCCCCATTATGAATTACTCCATCGATTGGAAGTTTCGGGGTAGTGTCGTAGTCTGTCATAGACTCATTGGCGGTGCCTGCGCCATTGATGATGCCCACCCCATTCGCGGCTAATATGTTGCGAATTTTTTCTACATCCACCAAAGGGGTGCCGATTTCGGTTTGTTCGACGCGGGCTACGATGATCGTTCTATCAGCAGAAGAGAATAAAAATATGAAAGATTTGTGATTGATTAACAATTGAAATATTAATTTAAATTTTTCTAACTTTCATTGTTGATTTGAAAGAAATAATTTACAAATAATTGGAAATGTTTTTTAGTGTTTAAATTTATATTTTTTAAAATATAAAACCGATAAATTTTACTAATTTTATCAACCTTTTTTCTCCAGTTGGAACAGGACTGCTTGTTACGGTTTTATTATTTGATACATAAGGACGTGTTTCTAATACGGTAATTCGTCCACCAGTGATAGTGGCTAATGTCTCCGCGGTTGTCGTTAAATTTGGACGATCTCCCGAAACCACAAACATCATTATGCGAGCTTCCATGGCAGTGCCTCTAACGATGAAGATCTCTGTCTCACTCGCGAGATGGGGTACACCTAGAATATTGCGTTAATAAAGAAAAGAGAACAGTAACAATTATTTTTTGGCTTATAAAATTTTTACAAAACTTTCAATTTTTGTTATTTATCTTGCTCGCCAAGAACTACATTTATTATATGAATATTCACCAAGATCATACGCCCTGGCAGTTAAAGTATATAAAATATCAGCTTCCGCTCGTTTTCTTCGATGCCCTTTTATCTCTCCAATTTGACGTTTCAATTCGGTTTCATTCGGAACGCTTTCCATTGAATTTGCCATATCCAGAGGTACTGCTGTTTTTTTTACAGTCTCTTGTATTATGTATTTTGGTTGAAAACTTTGTGCTTCTTTATGTAATTTTTTCGAAAAATTGTAGATACTTTGTTTCTTTCGCCTAAATTTCGTGACGGGTGACAGTAACGTCAGTTCTCCAGTAATCTCATTCAAATAAAATTTATTTTCATAATTTCCGTGAATCAGTTCATAACGAATTTCATTGTTTGGCGGTTCGGCATCAGCATCGGTAGCCTGAATTAAAATGTTTTTTTTTTTCATAAAAATGTCGAATATATTCACTGAAAATCTTACAAATAGAAATTAATTAAAATGAAATTATAAAAAATTTCAAAATTTACCTTGATAATAGCAGGTGTTGAAAAATTCGTCAAATCGGAATTTAATGTAAATTCGTAGGTATTTTTCTCGAAAATTGGTGCGTTGTCATTTACATCCAGTAAATTTACTATCAAAGGTACTTCACCCGTGTTACCTTTACCGTTTTCATCACGCGCAATTACAGTTAATTGTAGCTGCGCTGCCATTTCACGATCCAAAGACGATCCCATCTCGACCGTGATTAATCCCGTATCAGGATCTATTGCGAAAGCATCACTTCCTTGTCCTATTATGCCTGTATATCGAATACTGCCAAAAAGGCCGGTATCTTTGTCTGTTGCATGCACCTATTAAATATGTAATTATATAAACCAAAAACAGTAAAGTCGAGTTTAGAGATTTATTTTTATTTGAAACAAACATGAATTATATATTACCTGAATTACCCGTGTTCCAGCGGTGACATTTTCAGATAACGTAACTTCATAAGAGTCTTCGTCAAAGACAGGCGGATTATCATTAACATCTTGTATAAATATTACGACTGTTGCTGATGCTGATAAATTTGTTGCTGGACCAACCTCTTGAGCAATAATCTATATCATACATAAAGACATATGTGTCTTAATTAAACATTTATTTTGAACTTAGACAATATTTATTTATTGATAAAATTAATTTTGTTTATTTCAGTTACTTTTACATAAAATTGTAAAAATAATATAATACAAGCCAAACGACAAAATTGAATTATTTTATCCATTATCTTTGTATTAGGAATACCTTAAAAGATGTTTTATAAGTTTTATTTATTTAGACATACCTTAAAAGATAAACTTTCGTGCATCTCATAATCGATGAATGTATTGTCTCGCACCATGAGAATAAAATTTGCTGTTCTTTCAGCAACAGTTGGATTTATTTCGAAAGTACCATTATTATTCTGTAGTTTCAACGCGAAAACACCAGCCTTACCGATATCTTCATCGTGGACTCTAGTCGAATATTGCTCGGAGAACATTATCACAGAACCTGGATCCAAATTTTCTGGTATCGATGCAACGTAGCTACACAAATAAAATATATTAAGTATAAATAAATACTATAAACGCGTGTAACGATACAATATATTATTAAGAAATTGCATTATTTATTACAAACAATATAACGCGAATACTGGAAAACTAAAAAAAACGTAATGATATTAATAACTTGTAAAGTCTATAAAGGTAATGATATTAAAAGTCACAATATTTTATAAATCAGAGTTTAAGTAATCACGAAAAAACATTGCCCTGATTCTTAGGTGCTCATTATTTAAATAATCGGGTACCAACTTATCATTCTCAAAATATGGCGGGCTGTTGCCTGGTTCGCCAAGAAGAAAACCGACGTCGACAATCGTTGCCTGAGCCGGTGGCTCGTCCCTAGATCTTCGTATTTCCTCAGCGACAACAGTGAGCACGACCGGTGCACCAACATGAGTAATTTGCGTGAGTTCCTCTAAAGGTTTCGCGAGAACAATCTCACCTAAACATCGCAAGTGATTTATATTTGTGTAATTTATGTGTATGTTGTATATATAATCAACCAATTTTTCATTCAACTAATTATCTTTAATATATACTGGTAACACATATATTAGTGATTGTGAAAAATATTTTTCTAAAAATAGTTGTTACTGTTCGATATCGCAAATTATAACACTTATACAATTATAACACTTATTCGTTAAAATTCTATATATTTCTGCTTAAAATATTGTTTCTCTTAAAATTAGTATTTTGCGCAACATTTTGCATATCTCACATATCGTATAACGTAGGTATACAATTTCCCATTTCCGCACGCGCGCGACTTCTATATTGGATTTCGTTATTTCTTGGAGAACCACTGTAGCGATAACTATATAGACTATTTTTAATATGAATAAAACATCGCGAAGATAATGGATGCGAATTCTCTTATCCTTGTTACTTCTCCGTCTCGCCTCGTATCGTACACGCACGCTGACCGGCAATAATTTTACATAATGTATCTGCGGAATCGACTTAAGAAATCGTTCGCAGCGACGGATGAATGTGTATACCACTGGATGTAGGTAGAACCCGCACACGCAAGGAGTCGTAGTACGTATCGCATGCTCCTTGCCACGGAATGATAAGCATCAGGTTGAAAAGCAGAGAGTGACCCCTGAAAACGATCGATACTTGGCCGTAGACTGTCCAGACTTATTCCGACCACCTTTAGCTCCTTCTGTTTACTCCTCGCCAATTTTTCGCGTTCTTACCTGACTTGGATTTCTACGAAAAATCTAATATTCCGAGAAACGATAGTAGTAACAAAAGTTTTGCTAGCATAATTTTTTATTCGTGCATAAAGTAGTCTTTACTTTAAAAAAAAAAGAATAAAATTAATTTTATAAGTAAAAAATAAAATTCTGTTTATTTGTCAAAATTATTAATCTATCGATTCTTAATGAAAATATTTTTATATTTTGCTTTCGTAGATCATTATTTATCAATTTAGAATACATTTTGAACCGATAAAAATTTTATGAGTATTAAGATTTTACGTTTGGTTGTGATTTTTGTCTAACAATAAGATTTTCATTAAAAAATGAAGAATACTTGCATGAGTCAGTGAATACAAGAATATATGTGATTTCTTCTGCGGACTTTACGCGGAAAGTAAAACAAATTACTTCGCTATCAAGAAATGGAAGATCGACATCGGTGGAACGGTAGCGAACAAATTTCCCTGCTTAATCATTGTCCGGCACTTTTCGCGGAATGAGGTCAGTCCTTGTATATCAAAGGGGCACATATGAATCAGCACCGTTACTTCTTTCTATCATCAAGATTGTCAAGCGGAAATGACGCGAGACGTGCGATAGATCGAAGAATTAACGATGACTCAACTCGTCGAGTAAATTAATTACACGTACAATTCTAATTTGCATCTACGCGGTAGGAGAAGTCTTTTAATCTTTGAACACGTTCAACTCGAGTAGCACAATTGAAACGCACGCAACCAAGGATTCAGAATAAAATGTAGCACAATCGACGACGAAACTACTTTCTCCCAATTCTCTTAACTTTTCGTCCGACTTCGCGTACAAGATATTGAAAATATAACAGTTTCTCACCGGTTGTTTCCGAAATGTTGAAAAATGGTATGAAAGGGTTGCCTTCGGATACCAGACCATACGTGATTTCACGGGGTACTCCTTTATCTCCATCTTCCGCGTGAACTCGTAATATTACGTCCCCCTAGCACAAACGATTTAGAAAAGTTATTGTGATTAAATAATAACAGTAATAATGATACGGGAAAAGCATATCATTTTTATCGATATATTATGTAAGATAAAACAGGACATTCAAATATATCTTTTTCTATGTGAACAACTAAATTAAAGTAAATAAAGCAAATTAAAAAGTGATATATTTAACTTACGATTTGTACAGAATTATTAAGCCTCGTTAAAGGGGGTGCTAGGGTAAAAATTGGCGGCACGTCCTGTACGTCTTGCACTATGACGACGATATTCAGTCCTGCGATGTTCCTAGTATCTCTTCCGGGAGTGCACACTTACGGGCGTATTTTACGCTTATTCGTAGGACAATTATACTTACCGTCGCATAAATGGTGAGAGTGTACATCGATTGCGTCTCGAAGTCCAACTCGCCAATTAGCGTAATGACTCCGCGCGTTTGCGTAGGTGTTTGTCGTTGCCGAATAGTGAAAAGTTCTTTCGGTTGCTAAAACGACGTTGTATCTTTATGTTTCGCCTTATTAATTAACATAAATACAAAAGAACCATTAAACACATACCCATAATTCGATGTAAACTGGCTTGCCGCTCCAAGAGTTCGCTCGTACGAGAAGGTAATCTAGTTCTCTGCCTGGCTTAGCATCCTGTAATACGTTTTGCATTAATTTTTAACGTTACGCGTTGCATAATAAATAGATTTTGTACTTATATGTAGATATGTTACACCGATAATTAATGACCACGTGCAAAAGAGCGTTACACCTCCAGGTCGGAATAAGTACGCACTAATTAACGTTGTTAGAAGAACCATTAATAATTACGTACCTCAGGTACCATTATCAGGGAAGGAATGTGAGGAAATATTTTATCACGCGAGGTTGTGGCATTCGTTGCGGAAATGGTAGCCTGCATCGAATTCGAGTCTCCCTTAGTATCCCGAACCCTGACAGCGAAATCGTGAAGGCGTCCCGGCATAAGGCGTTTCGTTAAAATTACATTAGCCTGACAGACTTTGTTGTATAATGTGCACGGCAAGTTTTCGATTCTTACAACAGGTGTAATTGTTGCTGCAAATGAAATATAGAAGTCATTATTTTAATTCCTGATTACTGGTCGAATTTTAATAACAATCGAGACTTTTGTCTATTCTTCTTTTTTGTTTCTTTTTAATTACCTGTTACTTCGAACACTAGAGGAAAGTCCGCATCCTGATCGGTGGCGCGTAATCGAAAAATGACCGAATCGACTTCGGCATCGGCTGGAACCAATACCAATCCCATATCCGTAGATGTGTCGAAACGTGGTCGTGCACTTTTGCCCCAACCGCAAACGAACCCCAAATAAACCCACACCTTAAACCATGCTCCTACGAAGGGCATTCTAAAAGAAGATAATATCTTTTCTTATGCCATATAAAGCGTTGGACATAAGACATTCAGAAGTAGAGAGCATCGAACCGAATATAATTTTTTAAGTCCTCGTTAAATATAAAGCAAGTAACAGTAAATCGGTAATGCTATATCTCTATAATCCACGTGTAATTGACATTAATAGCGAAAAGATGGCGAGTTTTGATACGATGGTAGATATCGATTTTATGATCATGGAATGGGGTCGTGAGTATTCATTGTCGCGTTTCAAAACAGTATATTAAGTGTTCTTGTTTTCGATTCACATTATAAAGTATAATATTGTCGATATAATCGTATAATGAATGGAATCTTAATTTCTTAATGGAATTTTAATTTCTTAATGGAATTTCCTAATAATATTGTAATTATACATAAAATATAGTTTATTTAAATCAAAATATATTTTATTTAAATTTTAATAAACTTTTTTACTTAAATTGAACAAAATATATCTAATACGATTAAATAAAAATGCTTATCAATATATTAAAACTCATATATATTTAAATATATTATATTATGAAAACACATATTATTTAAATATAATATAAATATGTTAAAGTAATGTTAAAAATGAAAAATTATTTTACTACAATTATTATATAATATTATCTATAATAGTAAATATGTTATAATAAAATAATATTGTAGTAAAATATTCATATTAAATTTACATCAACTTTGTAGTAGAATATTTTTATTTATTTTACAACAATATTTTCTATTACTTTTGAAATATTTTATATACCTTTATTGTTATTCTTAATAAGATTTTTCCATCAGATATTTTTTTGTATGTCAGTAGTGTAACATGCGATTGTTAAACTGAATGTGGAAATGTGGGTCATCAGTCGTACATAACAGAACTAATATATTGTTGTGTCCAGTACCACATCCGTGTTTCTATAGGCACAGAAACTTTATGATGACATATTTTACCGCCTATCGGATGTATTTTTTTTCTGACCTCAAGTTTACAAAATGTATAACAGTAATATAATGTTTTTTATGCGTGGGATGTATTCAAGATACGTAATAAAATTTGAAAATGCATTTTTCAAATAATTGTTTTCTAAAAATATTTCTAGATTTACTATATATAATTTTTTAACGCATAATTACATTTTTGTTTCGAAAGATAAGAAAAATAGAATGGAAAATAAAAATTAATTGAAAAATAAAAAGAATTAAGACATGTCTAGTATATTATTGCTAATACGTGACGCTACTGAATAAATATTTAACATATAATTAAACCTATCAAATTGTTTGATGGTCGCTGATCGATTATTTTATCTTTTTACGTTTTTAATTTCACAAAAATATGTATCTATATTTGAGATCTTCCAAAATACTTGACAGTTACATGTTTTTCTTTTCATTTTGTTCTCTATGTATATTACATTTTAATTATTGAAGCACTACTGTGCATTTAAAAGAAATGCGATCACAGCGCGCGTATATATATATATATATATATATATATACATATAGAATTTATTATGTAGCTGTAATTACCGCTATTTGCTTTCTCTCATACAATATGCACTCTGTATTTCTATCTGGAAACATCCTTCGTCAATGACTCATGCCTTGACATTGCATAAATATTCTAGGATATAGAATATTTATGCAATGTGTAAAGCGAACGTAAGACATTCAATGAAATATTTAGCATCGACTTCCTATGTAGATCTACGAATGAGTCTTGTTTGTCTAACGATGAAATGGGCTTTAACCCGTCCACGCGCAATACCGTCTTGCTGTATATTTTTACCGGTCAGTGTCCACTCTAGCACGATCGATAGACTTTTCTTTTTTCACAACTTGTACCAGCATTGCTGGATACTTAGAATCGATATCCGTGGACGAGATTGAAAATCCACGTGAGCCTTTGAGTCGGGTTATAAATATATAATAAATAAATGCATGCTCGATGTATATATTGTAGCCACGAAGTTTCAGTGCACGTGAGGGATGTCGATATGTCTTGTCGATTGCATTGACATTTCATTATACATATACAATAACGATATCTCATTACAAATTAATAGAGAAGTTATTAACCTTCTACTTTTCGAGAGTATTTTCTGCGAAATTTTATTAGAAGAAAAATTATTTGTCAATTTTAAAATTGTATTGTAAGATAATACACATTTAAAGGAGAATAGTAAAAAAAATTGTCAATAATTATATTGCTTTAAATATTTTTTAAATATGGAATCTACAAATTATTCTTTGTTTCATATTAAAAATTAAGAAGTGTTCTCTATTGATTAATTTTTTCTGCGACAAAGAAATAAAAAATGTTATTATTATATGTTTTACATTGCTTTGAAAATTGTATCGTTATTGAAAGTTTGCAAAACAATTTTGCGGAAGAGAAAATTTATAGTATTATGATTTATAAATAATATTGTTATTATGCAATTTAAAAGCGTAATTCGATATCAATAAAAAATTATTTGAAAAGATGTATAAACGTACCTGAGGACACAGATAATCATGAGATCGTCGAACAGTTCATGTTTACACGAACAATATTTATCGCGCGATCACAGATCAAATAATTTTTTCGGCAGTGACACACTCATTTTCAAAACGAAAAAATTCGTAATTCTTGCTTTTTTCGTAAATAATTTTCGAGAATAAGTTAACTTTCTTTTCGACATTTTTAGCATTGTGTTTTCCATCGTTCGCTTCAATGTCATATAATTATTTTTGCGCGTAGGTTTCAATTATCATACGTTCATTATTTTTTTCCAAAAATCATACTTGTAAGAAATCACTGAAATAAACAGCGAACAACCAGATCCGTGATCCAGAGACAGCATTCTCGAGGATCGCGTGGAAGCACACTTCACGCGGCCGCGTACTCCGCGCGTGTGAAAGGGGTTGTACTGTTCACCCCCACGTTCATGCGGTTGTACGAGTCACGTGTACGTCACGTTCGACGATCATCCCCTCCATCATAATATCGAAGGTGTACTTAACTATTTGTAACTGGTACTTAACGGGCTTTCGAATGTTGGAATTGTCCAAATCAATCAAATAAGATGTAATCATCATGCATAAATGATAACTACTACTTTTTTCTATTTTTTGTGTTTATGTAAAGTATCATAAAGTAATACAGATATATAATCTAAAGAGATAAACGTCATATTATTGGTATATAAATATCGTAAAATTTTAAATTGGAGCAGACATTTTCAATAAAATGTTTAATAACATTTTCTTGTAATATGTAAATCTTATTTAAAGTATGACAAAGTTTAATATATCTGATTATTCTTTGAATTTTAACTTTTTAAAATTTTTAAAAGGTGAACTAGATAGCTTACATTTAATCTTTTAAATATTTTCAAAACATCACGTATAATATTATGATTTTGCCAAAATTTTGCTTTTAAATATAACTTAAAAAATAATGTAGCTCTGATTATTCAGTGTCTTGATAAATCAGACAGTAGAAGTTAATAGCGACTCCCTAAATACGAAAGGTTTCTTACCGTGGGTTTTCGTGTTTATTAGAAAAGGGATATTGATAAACATCGGAAACCTAATCTTCAAGGGTTACAATCGTGACTTTTAGTGCGCACTTTTTCATTAATTTAAACAATAATGAGAAAATGTCATGATAAAATACTACTTGTAAGGTTTTAAATTAGAATAATTTAGACGTCTATAAAATTATTTATATCTTATTATCGCAAATATTATTTATTGTTAACTTTTATTTACGTTTTATCAATATAAATGAAAAGAAAACATAAATTATGTGAACAAGTGTATTAGTTTTTATAAAACATTTTTGCATTTTAATAATATTATTGCCGGACAATAACTTTTCGGACAATAACCGACGCGGTGGAATGTACGCCATATAATAGCGAATGTAATATGAACAGACCAAAGGACGCCATAACGTCTTAAAGAGGCTTGTACCTAGGTGGTCGACCACTGACCGGTCGGTTATATAGCTGCTTTAGATTAGCATGAGGTTGCACGCAACCCTGACGTTCAGGAAGACGATAAGAGAATAGGTAACGTTTCCTCGGCTACCTAACTTTTCAACCAGTGACCTCCTATTCTGTGCGAATAAAACTTATCTTATAATCCTGATCGTAGTTCGGATTTTTTAATTATCTGGTTATATATGTATATCAGATATTCGACTACTTAGATGTCGTAAGAATAATTAACGTGATTAACTATCAGTACACAGTTTCGCTTTCTTCTCTCTAAGCAGAAAAGAATTTCGTTTAGAAACAAGAACACAGAATTGACTGAAAAAAATTTATTTGTCTATAAAAAATACAAAGGTGTACAAAAATTTGTTGTACGATAAGTCGTTGTGCAAGTAGTAGATGTTGACTAATATCAAGGTATAAATTAAATCGTTCAAAATACTCACTCATAATGTAAAACATCTTACGTGTCAACACATACATATCAATTCATTCATAAAGGCATGAATTATGAATTAAATATACAAATTACAATAAATAATTTGCGGAAATCTTGTATCTGAAATGTTGTATAAGTTACAACAGTCGATGACGAGTCATTCTATTTTTATGCAACATTATTATTTACAAAGTAATCCTTGGTTTTATTCTACATCTAAAGAATAATCAGTGGCATAGCATGAATCACGTGTGATCTCAAAACTTATTGATTTGCTATAATTCTGTTGTTTCGATCTTTTTTCCTAAGGGATTGACGATTGTATTTTGTCCTGAGTAAATTGGTGAATTTCTGTCAAAATTATTTTGAATATTGATACTCTCCACGCTGTAATAGTAAAAAAATATATATGTAGATTAATGCTATACATTTTATACATATTAGGCGTAATGATATCGTATTGTAAATATAAAATATTTGAAATTTAAAATATAATACCGATGAGTTGAATTTTTTTCCATGATGTATGTATGAAAAAAATAGAAAAAAATTCAATTTTCGTAATCATGTTACTAATATGTTCAATTACATTGGTTATAACCAGAAATAAGTGGCAACATAATGTAAAAGTAGCTTCATACCTAGAAATAGTTGAAATTCTTGGTTCTATGTAATATGGTTTATCCTCAGATCTTTGGTTTGTATTAGCTTCATTCATCATCTCTTCGTTATTAAGCGCATTCTCATCGAGAGAATCTCTTTCAGACGTATGGCTGAACGACTCGTCGTTCTTGAACCACTCGTTTTCATAAGCGTGCATCCATATAGGATTCGATCCTTCGACGCTGTGTTTGTTAGTATTCGGGACGCGACCAGGACTTCTGATAAATTCTGAGTCTGATGCACCTTTAGAATTGATAATAAATTAAATTGATTTTATTGTAATATTGGAAACAATATTGTGATAAAAATTATTAAAAATTTCCTTGCAAAAAAATATTTAAATATCGAAAGTCTGTTTTTTTAATCAATTCTAGAACTTTTGATGGGAAAGTCAAATTTTTATCAATTATATTGAAATTCTAAAAGTAAACATTAATTTGACAGAATTTCTAACGAGTGGCAAACAATAGTCAAAGAAAGCGAAAGGAGTTGAAGAGAACGGGTAGATATAGTTATAATATTTGCATTTCAAGATACCGAATGGTGATGCGTTCGCCGCTTTCAGTTGCCTTCGAAAAGAAGCCCTTTGAGACAAACATAAAGTGACACACAAAATTAGTAGAGCTCCTAGAAACAGGGTCAACGTGAGAAGCCAGAAAGTCGTTCCAGCTTGTTCATACTGTATAATCGGTTCGGGCTTTGCTGGCTGCGTATCGAGGACGTTGAACTCCTTGAATAAATTGTCGAGTTTCTCGATGTTCCTGTCGACTAACTCGAGGACCTCGGATACCTCGAGAATCGAATTGTCCCGACGATTTACGAGGTGCAAATATAAATCCGTTTTCGTTCTATCTACGGAACCATCTTGATTTTCATGCACTTTATATTCATCAACGTTAATTATAGCGCTAGTGACGTTACCCAGAATTCTGTGAATGGAGAATTTAGATGTTAGCTGAAATATTTTTAGATCTTACTTGGAAGGGGGAATAGATGCCCTTCAACTCTTTACAAAATTTAAAGAATTTAAATTTGAAACATAATCAGAAATATTTTACTCTGTCATACTTTTGCATAAGATCTATATTACAATAGTACAATATCATATTAATAAACTATTAATTTTCTTGAAATTATCTATTTTCTAAATAATTTTTCATGCAATATTTTTTTATTTTAATGAAAATTTATCATTTTTAGTTTTATATGACACATGCAAAATATGGTACACTTACTCTCGGAAGGTCTCAATTCGACTTCTGACTTCTGGCGGATGTTGACGGAGAACAAAACGAACCCTTTGATCCTCCCGTAATAAATAGATAAAAACTCTCGCAGTATCTTGCAAGCCATATGTATCGTTAACGAGTACCTGTATTTATACAATATTCTATACAAACAACATCTTACTTAGCTTATTGTTTTATATTAAATAAGTTATAAAATTATAACAGAAAAGATCGAAAGCGCGGCGTTTGTTCATACAAGAATGTATATCAATTTTATCAAAATGATATATATTATTAAAATAAGTGTACCATGAAATCAAAGTATCCCTTCATCCCTCGTTGAGGATCAAAATTCAGACTCACTGCTCCATCGTCTTTATTTACTAGAAAAGGCTGCATTTGCATATCTTCGAAGCCTTCAGTAAGCGTCATGTGAATTTTGCCTACTTGATAATAACTGAGTATGGCATTATTGCCAGCGTCCGCATCAATTGACTATAACATACATTCACATAAATGTATTTAAATGCATTTAAAAAAATATTAAGTACTTAAAATTAAATACTAATTAATACTGCCTTTTAGAGCATAATATAACTACCTTCACATGCATAAATTGCGTGCCAAAGTCGGCTTCAGTAGTAACGCCACCCGTAAAAACATCTTTAATAAATTGCGGTGCGTTGTCATTAATGTCATCAACTTTTACGATAACTTGTAATAGAGTAGCATCAGTCTTGTCAAACGTTGTTTGATTTTCCGGCACGGTCTTGCAATCTTCCGTTGCTTTAATAAGCAATACATGTTCTTCTTGCTGTTCTCTGTCCAGCAACTTAGCAGTCTAAGCAATAAATAATATCAATTCTTCTCCAATCGTCAAGAGATGAAAAAAATACGAAAAATAAGAAAACGAAAAATAATTTAATAAGCGACTTACGCCAAGTTCGTGTTTATAAATATCCAAAATGAACAGTCCACCGTTGTTTCCGCCAACTATGAAATAACAGACTTGGGTGGGAGGATCGTCCAACTCGTCAACGTCATCATTATCAAATGTTTCTGGGAGTAACACCATCTCTGACCCTGGTGGCTGTTCCTCCGTGAAGTTAACATTAAAAACGCTCACTGAAAATTGCGGCTCAAAATCGTTGATATTCCGCACGTAAATAATTAAATCGAGATCTGAACTTAAAGGCGTCGGGGTACCCAAATCGTATGCTTCGACACGTATCTACGTCGGGAATAATTTGTCAATTTTATTTACAAAAAATTTATAAAATAATTAACAGAAAGTAAAATACAATTTAAATTTCACGATTATATGCGTTTACTTACCTCATATAATTTTTGAGTCTCTCTATCGAGCGGTAATTTTAAGGATATTATGCCGGTTTTCTCATCAATACGAAAAGTCTTCCAGTGGCCCGCAAGGTCTTGTTTTAAACGATAATGCACGTCGCCGTTTAATCCCGTATCGGCATCTTTCGCTTCAATTTGAATAATCGAACTTCCTATTGTTATGTTCTGAAATATTCGTTTTATTACGTTACATTATTAATGTCGTTTCTTGTTAGAAATACAGCATTATGCAAATTAGTCAGAAACACGAACCTCTGGAACGCGGATGGTGGTGTTGTGTTGGGGACTGATGAATAAAGGAGGATTATCGTTGTAGTCCGTGACGCAAATTTTTAAAATTCCTTTATCCTTATTGGACGGTGTTCCCAAATCGTGTGCTTCGATGTTTAATGTGTAATTTCCGAATTTTCCTCTTAATGATTGCGCAGCTTTTATCTTTGCTGTCCAATGGTCAGTTTGTTCCAATATAAATAAACCTGTTGACCAAAATTTCGAAATTAATTATATTTAATATTTGAGAAGGTACATTAATTATAGTAGAATTTCATAAATTTCATAATATATACTTAATTGCATTATGTATTGTTGATATCGAATATTATAGTTAGGTAAAAAAAAAAATGTTCAAAAATTAATTGCACACCTAATTCATTGCCGGAAGTGATTCTAATTATAACACGTCCATTCGGCGTAGTCGGGTCATCAGCATCTTTTACTTTCATAACGTAAATTAAGTCTCGTATGTCGTGAAATTCAGATATCGAGATGCAGTCTTGAGGTATATCCATTTTCGGAGCATTGTCATTCACATCAATGACTGTAACTCTAAAACAATATGCTTTGTTTTACAATGATACTGTCTAAGTGACTTATGTACAGTTTAAAATTAAATTAGAATTAAATTAGAATTATATTTATTATTAATAAGTCGAGAAATTGTATTTTGAAATTTCGTGAACATACTGGATTTGCTTAAATGCGTTTCGAGATTCTCCCGCGGTATAACCAAATTGGTAATTATCCCACGCTTCTATAACCAAAACATAACTGTGTCTGCTCTCCCAATCGAGAACGTCAGCTACTGTCAGTGATCCCGTTTCTGAGTGAATAGCAAAAGTCCCCTGTTTAAAATAACAATTATAAATTAATATATAATTATTATATTACATTGGTTTGAAAGAACAACTAAATATTACTTAAATACGCTGCAAAGTAATGGTAAATGTAGTTATAAAAAATGTTTGTGTTTGTGTATTATTATGAAACTGCAAAGTTTGTTGTCATGTTTCCTACCTGAGAAGATATTCTGTCTAAGAGATAAGTGATTTTTCCATAATCTCCACTATCAGAATCTGCCGCCCGTATTACAGCAATTTCTGTGCCAATTTTTGAATTCTCCATAACAGTCACATTACTAATGTTCGAAACAAAATACGGATTATTATCGTTTTCGTCCAAGACTTGAACGTATACTTCTGATAAACTTGATCTACAAAATTGAATACAATTTAAGTCACCTTAATATATATCAATAAAAAAATAATGTTGGAACGTTATTATCTATTTAATGTTGGTAAATTAATTAGTTATAAATTTTTATTGTTTTTAAAATTAAATATAATATAATGAGATGAAAAGGGAATTGTCCAGAGAAATTAATGCAAATCCATTTACGTAACATAATAACCTCATAATAATCTAATAATTATTAAATTGCATCATTCTTACCGAGGTGGAATTCCAGAATCTGTGGCTTTGACAGTTAAATTTAGCCACGAGTACATTTCTCTGTCGATTTTGTTAGCGACGACCATTTCTCCGGTTTCCTGATCTAAATGCACGAGGTCGATGATCTCTCTCGGGCCTTGTAAAGAATATGTAATGCTACGATTTTTATCGGCGTCATCGGCAACAATATTCACGATATTAACTCCATTTTTACTATTTTCCGTAACAGAACGTCTATAAAATGGTCTCCGGAATTTAGGATTATTATCGTTTTCATCTTCGATAATTATACTCAATGTAGCTGCAAAATTTTTGTATTATGTGCTTTAATAAAATATCTTTGCGACACAAAAGTTTCAAAAACGTTTTAAATACTTTGCAAAAAAGATTTGAAGTAAGACCTTGTCATGTACAAAAGTAAAACTAACCAGATGCAGTTTGCAAGCCTCTTACTGCGGCCAAATCCTCGACTACAAGTCCTAGTCAATTTAACTCTAGCGCTGCTAAATAGTCATATTCTTGCACTTTGATTAAAGTACCCTCCTCATTTCGTGCTTCCGATGAGTTGGGATCTACACGATAACGTAGAATCGGAGCTACATCCGGATCTTGTGCCACTATGCGATGAACGTAAGCACCGACCTAAAATCATTTGTTTATTGATAGCATTGAGAAATCAGTAGAGCATTTGATAACATACCTGAGTATTTTCTCTGATAGTGACAGTCTCAGGATCGATAAAAACCGGCGGTTTATTATTGACGTCTAGGATTGTGATATTCACAAGAACCTCGGCTGTCCGTTGAATTTCCGTACCGCTGTCAATGGCGATAACGTTCAAGTTATATCTTGTGGTTTTCGGCGACGTAAGATCCGGATCTAAGTTGGAACCCGGCGCCACTCGGATCACGCCTGTCTCGGGACTAATTACGAACTTATCTCCGGCTCCGCTCTGAATTCGGTAAACTAACTTGTTATTCGGCGAAGAGAGATCTTTGTCCCACGCTTTTACCTATGCAAATAATTCTTCATTCATCGTTTATCCGCAATAACATCTAATTATTTATTTTTTTCTTGTTTTTTACTTTTCCATATAATTAAAAAATTTGAACTTACGACGTCTTACATAACATATTTAATATTATATGATAATTACGTACTTGTACAATACTCGTGCCACCTAGCGAGTCCTCAGGAATATTTCTCTTATACAAAGTTCTTTCGAAAACCGGAGCATTATCATTAACGTCTCTCAAATAAATCATTAGAGGAACGTCAGAAGTCAAACTTGGTGTGCCCATATCTCTGGCTCTCACTATCAATCTTAATTGACGTATGATCATTTCTTTGTGTCCTTGATTGATAGGCAGAGCTTCATAATCTAGGGGACGGGTGGGTGTAACAATGCCGCGTTTCGGATCGATAGTAAAATTTCGGGAAAATTCGCTTGATACCAGAGCGTAGACTATCTCACTGTTTCGCGTCCCTGTATACATATGTAAACATGACACATCATAGATAGAGATATATTTTATTTATTTGTTAAACGTTGCCTGACCGTTCAAATCGTTATCGGATGCTTCGACGAGTAGAGGCGATTCAAAGTGATCTTCATTCTCCAACAGCACCGCTTCGTATTTATTTTGCAGAAATATAGGAGCGTTGTCATTAACATCATCAATATTAATTATCAATTGCGCAGCATTGCGATTTCCTTTTCCAAGATTATCTCGTGCTTCGACGGTGAGATAATGCCGAGCAACTAATTCTCGATCGAAACTGGATCCAGGATGTTTGACCGTTATTACGCCGGTAAGAGGATCTATCGTCAATCTACAAAATTAGATTTAATCTATAGTATGCTTTCATTATTTTATTAATAATTTATCGCTATTAGAATTTCCCTAATTATATTAGATAAAAATCTCTTCCTCTTTTCAATATAATTTTTTTATACTGATTCATAAATATAGAAATCTCTGTATATAAAATTATAGTATAATACTGTGTGTGAGTCTAAGAATTATTTTAATAATTTATTATCTTACGCATGTGCAATGCTACCGCCTAAAGTTGTGTATCGTATTCCATGCGTTCCAAAATTATCGCTATCTGCGTCTAAAGCCTGTACCCAAGCCACAGTTGTTCCCTCGACACAATTTTCTGGTATCGACACCTCGTAGATATCTTTCGTAAATTCGGGATAGTTATCATTTTGATCCTTTATAAAGACCGTAACTGGTACCGCACTATATTTCGGCGAAACCGGCGTGATTTCTTTCGCGACGAGAGTGAAGTTTACCACTATAAGAATCAAAAATACATAAGTTTTATATATACGTAAGTGATACGATACAAGACAAATATATAACGTTTATATTTTGACATTAATTTCATAATAGTTCATCTAATTATAACGAAGAAAAATGTACATCTTTACCAGATATTTTTTCAAAATCGAGTTTACTCGAATCCTTAACGCGTATTAAAAACGGTGCCTCATTGATCCCGCGAAACGGTGTTACATCAAACATTCCACCATCGCCTTCAATGAATATTCGAAATGTGCCGTTGGAACCCTGAAAAAAAATTTACTGTACTTGTTCTCAAAATTTAATAAGAAAAGATTATTTTATAAAGAAGCAGCATCTTTTAAATATTGATTTTTTCGAATGTTAAAATTTTACTTAAAAAATTTTTCTTACTATTTCCAACTTACCAGATCATGATCAAAAACTTCTGGTACAGCATCGCCAATAAAATTAACTGGCGTATTTTCCGGCGCGTTCTCATTTATTTCGGCACGGTACAGCATACTTCTAAATGTCGGCGTTTCGTCATTTACGTCGGTAAGAATAATGGTCACCTCGGTACTAACAGACGGCGGTGGAATAATTTTCGATACTTCCTTCACCGTAATTTCGAGAATAAAAGTGCCATCACTATTCTCCTCAGCCTCTCTATCCAATTGCGCTCTTGTAAACACGAGACCAGAAGTCGCATCAATATCGAACAAATATCTCGGTCCCTTCGTGATGCTATAAGTCACTTTATTGTTTATCCCCTTATCGCCATCCACAGCACGAACTGCAACAAGATTTATTATTATATTATACATTAGAGCCACAAAATTTTATATACAGAATGTCCCACAATCACACTAAAAATATCAAGGTCACAATAGTTTTTGAAAACGATTGGCGTTCAATAAAACGTTTAAATGCAAAAAAATTTGTTTTTGTTTTGAACGAAAAATATTTATATAAATATTATATATAAAAAACATTTATTATTTTTTTTAAACACTTTGTATCCTAAAAAGAACTACATTGCGTGATTTTAATAAATAAAAGAATAAGTTTAAATAATAAAAAAATAGCTCTAAAAAATATAATTATTTGACTTCATTCCTTTTTCTCGAATATACGATCACAGTTTATTCTCAATGCTTTAGCTATTTAACGCCTGGGAGTGTTTATGACTATCCTAGTTTTAAAGAACAGTAATAAAGGAACAACGGATCATAGCTTTTCGCATACTTTTCTTGCGTTATTCTTCCGCCATAACAGAGGAAAGAACGCATCACATGCGATTATTAGAGCGAAATAGCTTAGATTTGATTTGTAATTGTTGCAACGTTTGAAGACCGAAGTTGCGTACGTGTACGTGTGTATACATGTATATCGTTGCGTGCGCCTGCGTCGAAGTATGTCAAAAATTAAATTCTAAATTAATTAGCTGAAAATTGCCCATTACAACATCTTAATTAATTTCTTGTCTTAATTAAGTAACATCATCCATTATAAATGAACTTTGTTATACAATACTTATTCATTTATTTTGTTATCATGTTAAGTTATACTTAAAATTAGGTCCCATAAATTGTAGAAATAGTTTGAATTTCGTTTTATTGCGAGATAATGCTGACCTTGCAAAACGGATGTGCCAATCCTAACATTTTCGCTAATTCTTGCGACAGGCGTCATGGCTATGAATTCCGGCGGCTGGTCCTCCACATCCTGTACTTTGATCAAAATCGCTGTTGTTCCCGTATTTACCTGGAAGGGAAGAATGATTAAATATTTTATCTCGAATAATTAAGTACAAGTAAACTCTACCTACAGGAAGTTGCCTTAAAGAAATGGCTATAATGAATAACTGTACTGATGCTTATGTAGATGATTATCTTCTGGCATTGTTCACCCTTCACCGCGCATAATTTTATAGGGAAAAGTCATTGAACTATTCAATAATTATGGGTCGTACGGGTTTTTATCTATATCCGCGCATATCGCATTTTGTTAAATAGTACCCATATAAGTTTTAAAATTTTTAGAAAACACGCACCTTATTCAAGTATATACGAATTAATGTACATTAAATATATATGAATTAAATGTACATAGCAGGATAGTCGAATTATAAAAATAAAGTCGCGTCCATTTTTCCTATTATTTATGATACTTGAAAGAAATAAATAAGTTTGATAAAATTTAATAAAATATATAATGAAAAATAATAACACTTAAATAAAATACCTTTTCATTTATTGCACGATCTACAGCCAAGATCCGCAGTTGATACAGATACTTTCGTTCGTAATCTAAAGAACCCACTAAGCGTATGACGCCCTTGCCATTGACGGTCGATATACTGAAAACGTTGTTATCGCCGTCCAATTCCTGAAGGTAATACACCACTTGACCATGAGCACCCAAATCGGCGTCGGTAGCTTCCACCGTTGTTAAAATACCCGGGCGTGAATCCTCCCGAAGAGTTAACGAAGTAGGATGTGGACGGAAAATTGGTACATTGTCATTAATGTCCTCGACCAGAAGCAGCAGACTTTGCGTGATAAAATTTCCTTCCCCCAATCTTCCATCCGTCAATGTTAATACGAGTGCATATTCATCTCTTGTCTGACAAAACACAAATAATATTAAAATTAGATTAAGTTTGCTTTAAACGATTTATAATTTGTGTCAGAATTTAGGATAGAATTCTATTTATAATTTTATACGTTTAATTTTTGTCGTATAATAAGATACATATAATATTTAAAAAATTAAAATATGTACATAAAATTTATATTAAAATATATAAATATGTCAGAATTTACACATATAAAATTATAAATATTATATAATTCTATTCTAAAACATGAATAGAATTTGATAGCGAACTCTAGATTGTTTAAAGTATTAATTATTATTAAATATTAATTATTAATATATTTGAAAGATACATATAAATTACTTGAAATATTGAGATAATATATAGATGAAGATCAGAATGCAAGAGATAAAATATTAAATTTGAATAAAGTTTAATCGATATAGATTTTTTTAAAATTACAGCATCTCATGCGATGATTATTATGGTTCAAATATACGAACATTATCGACGATAGAAAGTTAATATCAACGTATTATTTTACGCGTGCACTAATGACGCTACAAATAACAGCTTTACGAAGTGGATCCTCATAAAGATGATGAGTAAATTACGTTTGTCTCCGCTGATACTTAAATTTCTCTTTAATGGTTTGTTGGACTGTAATATTGAAATTATAATCCGAAGACAAGGTAAATCGCTCGTGCAAAACAAAAATAACAGTGGGACAACATAAGAATTATTGCGGTATCTCTTCCTGTCTTATCTTTGTTTCTGTAGTTATTGTTTAATAGCTCTCTTACTTGACAATTTATGTTATTAAGACGTGCAATTGTTAAGATTTAGTTTTTATTTCTCGATTTGATGTAAAATTTTAAAAATATTTGTTTATTAATTTTCTCACAATCTTAGTAACTTAAAAATTATTTAGGATAAGATTACCTCTCTGTCCAGTAACTTATTTAAGTAAATGTTGGCTTCATTAAGACCGAAATTTTCAACTTGAATCACGTCACTACCAGGCTGTTCTCGAACACCAAATGTCAATATGTCATTATCTGGATCGATACCTTTGAGCTTGTAAATTAGGCTACCTATAAATAATATTTTCATATATTTATAAATTTTATTTACGTACAATAAAAATGAAAAATGTAATGGTCAAATGGAAGAAAATAATGAGAAGTATTTTAGTAATTGTTATCTTTTTAAAGCAATAAAGGATATTTAAAGATAAATTTTATAATTTCCTTAGATATTTAAATACACATATTTATAAGAAGAAAGAATTGAGAACGAAAGACGGGTCATAAAGAAACGCATTAATTTTCGCAAGCTTATTTGCATGTTGAAAACAAAACGGCAACGTTTATACAACGGTGCTCGAAAATCGGTGCATTAAACTAGTAATAAATTTTGTCATTCGTAATCAACCAGCACAAGTATGCATAGAAGATGCTCTCGTGTTCTTTCACTATGAATTAATCGATCTTAAATTTCCATTTGACTGTTTATTTAATAAAAAAATTAATAAAAACTGTAGCCATATATTAACGCTTGCTTGTTACACATATAAAAATTTATATTCGACTGATATCCACTCTTTAAGGAGTTTTTTTAAAATTGCAGAAATATCAATATTACATGTTAGAAAGTATTCTGATTAGGCTGTACAGCTTGCAAAATTCTTTTACACAATTAAAATACGCGCGTAAGAAAAAAGTGCGAGACGGTTGATTTAACAAGAAAATTGAAAAAATTAAAAATTTATCTTATTAAAAATTTAATAGTCATACTAAATGTAATTTTCGATTTTTTCGTTAAATCGACCGTTTTTTTTTCTCAATCTCGCACCTTTTTTGTACGTATTTTAATTGTGTAAAAGGATTTTGCAATCTGTACGGTCAATTCGGAATACTTTCTAACCTGTAATGTCGGTAATTTTATCACTAAGAGGACTACTCCTTAAGAGAATAGTGTAATCTTTTTTAAAATGATGCGTTTATTATTCTTACCAATCGGAGTCTCGGACTCTTCCTTTAATCTAAGGACAATTTCTGTTTGTCCATCTATGAGAAATCTGGGCGGATTGTTTCTAGCCGAACAATATGTTAACAAATATCCAAATATAAAGTATAATTCTATTTTAAACCGGCTTCTTTTACATGATCGCAATAACCAGGAAGACAATCTCGTTTGCTTATCCAACATCATCTTGATCGATCGATATTTATAATCGACATGTTCCTCCTTCGTAGAATCTTTCACTTCTTAGTATTCTGAAATTAATACATAAACATTAATTTATCGTAAAAATGCTGGTATAAATAATTAACAGATTATGTAAGTAAAAATATAATAAAAATATAAATATAAATATAAGCTATAAGTAAATTCTGTATAGAGTTTAATACATTCTTAAAAAAAAACGAATAATGTATTAAATAATTAAATAGGAATTATTAAATTCATTAAAAGCATTAATATATAATAATGTAGACTAAGAGCGTGATATATTATCATCGATGTAAATTGATACACATACATTTAGAAGATATCACATTGCATATTTCTAGTATTTTTAACGCGTACTTTTTATGTATAATTTATAAACTTTATGCATTTGATTTGTACACGCGTACGTAGTCTATTTACTTGCTGCATTTAGTTTGATAACCGGTATATTCACGCTGAGCGGTTGCTTTCTCCTCGGTAAAACGTCGTCTTGATGCAATGTCAAGAGTATCTCACTGCGAACGATCACAGAGATTAAACTGGAGTGAAAGCTTACCGGAAGAAACGTTTTCTCACGGCTCTTAAATTGTGCGGTACGCGATAATTAAAAGAATGCGTCTCCCGAGTAAACCCGCTAGTATTCATATTATGCAAGATATATTTCATTGCTCGATTCTTCTAGGATCTTACGAAGCGGTGATATAATATCGCATTCTTAGGAAAGAAAGTGTGTTACGATTCAAAACGAGCAACTCCGATTATTATCAATAAAAGATATGTTACCAAAAACTGTGAAAGCATTCACTGACTCGTGTTCGTATAAGAATTCTTCTTTAAGTAGATAGTTTGACACTTAAGGAACACTGAGTGAGCACACCGAACGGTGCTCTTCTTGCCAACAGAGTGTATCGGCCACGCTCTTGACTTTTAAGACTCTGCTAAATAACAGGCTAGTGCGAAGCTTCTCGATGTGCGGATACCCGTGTATTCAAATGTGTACGATGTACGTGCGCTATCTGATTTCCAACGAATAAAGACTGTAGCCACACAGGAAACGAATTCTCTTCTTATTCCGATGAGTATTGATAAGAATTGTACCGGATAACACGATTTTTATTTACGATAATGTAAACCAGGTCTTTCCGACTTGGCTCCAAGTAATTTTTACGTTTATTTTCAAAATGATTACTCTGAAACATCACATTGTGATTTCTATATATTTTTTTATTTATAGTGTACAATAAATAATAAACTAATACATATGTATATGTATAGGTATACAATTTCCTTAAAATCTCTAATATATTATTCTACGTATTTTTGCTGCAAGGATTCTTTACTGTTGAGAATTATCAAATGCAATTAATTATATATAATGATTCATCTAATCTTTTATCTACAATACTTGAATGTGTTATGTTCGAATGCATAGCATGAAGAAGATTGCGTGACTAAAATTTTCTCCGGCTTCTTTACAACTTCACCTTCGCGCATCGAGAAATTCTTCGATAAGATTGATCGATAGAACGCTTTAAATTCAGAATAATTTTATTCTCTTCGACAATCGTCGATTTTTACTTTCAACACGAGCTATTCGTACGGCAGCAGACCTCGTGAGCATTGACCGAATAGAGCAACTTGTATATCTAAAGGAAGTTTTCTCTATGCATGCTGGTTCGAATAAAGGGGCAATAAGGTCGTGTTTCCAATGGGGGGCTGTCCCGAGGTACGTGACGTCATTTCCTACACCTGCCATGCATGCTTCCGAATGATAACACCGTCCGGGATATTGACATACACCTATAATACTGTCTGTTGCCCGGCCAACCCTATACAGAATTTCCTTGCGTGACGAGCTCCCCCACACTATGAACACATGTGTAAAGGATCTTGGCGGGTGCGAACCCGCCGGTTGTCTTTGATATCGGTACGTATTTTTTTCAACGCTGTAAAATTAAGGTAGGATAATTACGAAAAAGGAGCAAGCAAGAAAGTAATAATCTTTCAAATAAATCTCGCGTAAGATTTTCACTTTTTTAATTTAAAGGTTTTAATTCTAGTTAAGAGAAAGTACATTGTCTTAAACAAATTATTAAACTTTCCGTTATTTTAATTAACGTTATTTGCGTGGATTCGACAAATTAACTTCTCGAAAAATATATGACGCAGAAATTGTTAGCCATTCGACAATTTTGCCAGCAAAAATTCGAGTTTCGGAGTTCCCTCTGTTGGTCTGCGGTTACATCTGGTGTTACGACAATAAACAGATGTTACTGTGCGAACGAAGTACATAAGCAAAATGAATTTCCTTTTCACTGTGGCACGATGAAATGTTACCCGTGGGAGTGAAATTAATGGCGTCTTATCTCATCGTACAAATAATTATGATGAGATACAATGGCGTTGTCCGATTATTTAACGAGAAGAGATATAATTTCATAACACATCATAAGAGGATACATAAGCCGAGTTTGAAGCGTGATTGCATTCTTGCGTCATGAACATTCGCGTTTAATATAATTAATATGTCGTCATAAGGAAATTTGGGTCAGTGCTAACAATTGCCGATCAGTATCCAGTGGTTAGCTTTGCTTCAACGTTCAATTTTAATTCCGTAATAAACGGAAGTCATGGCATATAAAAAAAAGATGAATCTCTCACGCAGGAAAAATATATAAATATATTTAAATATATTATAAATAATATGTTATTAAATTAAAGTGTTATTAAATTTATTGTAATTTATATCTTTTTTCATTCATTTCTTTACAAGAAATACTTCCTTAAATTAATTTTTATTTAATTTACAAAAAATTTTGCCTTTATTTATTTAGAATCTGTCAATCAAAATTTTGTAATAGAAATCTAGTAGAAATCTATACCTCATTTTCGCCCTTTCGTGTTTCATTTAGTACAGATGACGTAGTTTAAACTTCAATTTCTACTTCAACAGCGAAGAGAGAGAGAGAGAGAGAGAGAGAGAGAGAGACCTTCACTCTTTATTGAAGTTTGTTGAAAATTGATTGTAATAACAAGTATACGAAACGTCTTCCTTTAAGGATTGCAAGGCCAGTTATCAAAGAGTGGCTAACAATACCATTGATTCCACGAATTAAACTTTCAGTGGTGGTGTCAGATAAGCATTAATTGCACGTCAGATACGTGAGATTCTACACCGGCATTATCAGGATGTCGACTGTGATGGACGTACTGTCTGTCAATGTCACGTTTTAAAAGTTCCACGGAACTTTCTAAAAAATTGCGACCCGTTGCCTTTCCACGGCCAATCAAATCCGATAAAAAGGGACAATTTATTAAAATGTAAAAATGAAATAGAAATGAAGTAGAAATGAAGAGATAATCATAGGTTTTATACCAAATCTTTTAATCCTGTGAATTGATTAATTAATTTACTCATAAAATTTTATTGTCAGAAATATTAACAAGCTGTAATGTGGTAATTTAAATATATTCTGTTGCTAATTATTAAAAGATATTCAGTAGTTTCATACTCATTAATAATAAAAAATATGAAAATCTGAATGCATCGGAACAAAGGCTTAAATCATTTTTATGATTGTGAGTACAAAAAAATATTATATTAGTGTTCGAAAGTACTTTGTACTCACCAGAATTTTTAATGATGTATAATACAATGGCGGGAATAGATTTGTTTGGTATGTTTCAGTGATGAAAACAAATGTTTTTATTCACACAATTGTCTTATTGTAACTGCAGCTTTTAACACATTGTCGGTGCTAGCGTTAGCGTGATTGCGAAGCATGCAAAATGTATTCATACGTCCAACTGTGTCAGTAAACTCTATTTAGGAATCAGATCGAATTGATTAATTTATTACTGCTTTTCAATTGTTTTTTAATTTTTTTCACATTACATTGTCGCTGTAATTGGTATTTCTTTTCAGTACATTATCCATTCAATAAATTGAGTAAACGTAATTGAATAATTGCACGTAATATACATGCACACATAATGTGACAAGAATCGACGAGTTTATTATAATTTAATTATCAAATTACTGTCACTGTAATTAAAAATATAAATTCTTCTTTTTCAATCACTGTATTTAAAACATTCACTCAAGTTTATTTTCTGCCATTAATCGAAAATGAAAATTTGCACTATTTAATTTATTGAACAAAACTTTTTTTAAACTCCTTTTAAATTGTAAATAGCACTTTTGTCACTACTCCTAGGTTTAACGCAGATAAGACTAAGTCGAAGTAAAATCGAATTCTGTTCACGATCGCGAGATTAAGGTGATGACAAACGAATTTGCATAGAACCGTGTCATCGCCCGATCGGCCGTGAGCGCGGCGCTCACCTGTCCGAGTGAGCTTACGATAGTAAACTGAAGGTACGGGCGAAGCCAGCGTGGTTCCCGTCGGGAGAGCGTAGATCGTTGCCTGGCATTCGTTCTGTGGCGTGAGCACTGACCGTGCACAGAACACCACAAAACGTACGGTTGTTCCAAGTTAAATTCAGCCCGTCGTGCTCCCCGAGGCGTGCAGGAGAGGGCTTTCCCCCTTCGTCACAACCTCCGGTCACCTGTGCCACCTCACCGCCCGCAGGGGAAGATGTATTTTGTAGAGAATAGCGGGGCACCGCCTGCGGCCCGTCGATTGTTAATGGCGAAGAAACGGTAGCACGATTATTAACGCCATGGTATAATCTTCCATATCAGATATAAACGTATCGAAGTCGATAATGATATACATTTATTAAACCCTTAGAATACTTCTAACTTTATAGTGAAGAAACAAAGTTATAGTTTCGTGAAATTTAAATTTACGGAGAACAAAAGTAATTGCATGTAATATATGTGTGCAAGAATATGTAGAAATTATGTAGAAGAAAAAAGTTTTATAAAAAGTACAGAGAGAACATCAGGAAGAATAAATAAATTTTAAGTAAATCAATTTTAAGAGAGAGAGAAGAGAGAAGGAAATCAGTTTATACATTCTGAAGTTTATAATTTTACCATGTTACTGAAGAAAAATGAATTATACGTAAAAGATAAAAAATATAAAGAAGCAATTTTTATTTGTTAATAATACATAATGTGTAAATAATATTTTACTTTTGCCTAATATTATATATATTACGTATACATTAAGTCGTATAAATTCTATGAAGGTATGAAGAAACAGGTTTGTAAACTAGTTAATCTAGCATATCAGAGTTACAAAACTCTGCTTTATCCGCTAGAGATGCTATCGATACAAATATAGTATTACGAATTAAAGTTGTGTAGCAGCTATGTGTTTAAAATTCAGAAAAATTCAATGATCTACCGGGCTTAATGTCCGGATCATCGTGTACCTACTGTAAGTTAAGTTCGTTGAACCTGACTAACCGGCCAAGATAGTCACTTTCAACATCGCACCTCAGATGTCGCATGCTGTTTTCCTAAAACCTGAAATTGCAGATATACATAAGATATACGTATTCGAAAAAAACTATTAAAACTTATTAAATTAATCATTTTGGCTTTATCTTAAAGCGTCTACTTTTAGAAATCATGATTGATAATAAAAAATCTATGCATATTTTTTTTAAACATGAGGATAATTCATATAGTCTTTCATAATCAATGATAATAAAAAATTAGAAAGAAGATGCATATATTTGATTTAGGTGCAGTAAAACAGCGAAAACTGAAACTTATGTTTTATATTTAGGTATCACATTTGAAGTATTAAAATTAAAATCATTTTTTATATTTATATATATATTGACATAATTTAAAATAACAATAAAATTGGATTTGTAAATGGGGACATATAAAATAAATTTTTTAAAAACAATATTGTTTCGGAAATGTTATAATAAAAAGATATGTGAAAATAATTACCTGCAGTTTGTATTTATAGGATCAAAGAGAAACGAACATTAATTTTTCATATTAAAATGTAAGAAATAATTAATGTAGATATAAAAAAATAAATTCGTTTGTGTACAAAAATAGAAAAAATGCAAATTTTTATAGTCCAATTGTTTTTTAATGGATAATTAAGAAAGAATTAAGTTGCTGTCATATATTTATTCGAATAACATCGATAATCATTTGTCATCAAATATTTCTTCTTACATACCGATACGTTCATCATACGTTCATTTTTCAAGGTGCCTCTTGTTTCAATCGGTCATGACAATCTGTCGCCAGTGATCTCATACATGAAATCGAGCTAGTAGACCTTGAAGGCGTCTACATGCGGTAAGCCGTGCGTAAAAGTTCTACAGATAAAATTGGGACAGCGTATCATTGACGATCCTGAGAAAGGGTGTCTTCGCGTAAGTTAACGTGGCAACAAATTGAATACGAATGTAGAGTTTCACAGATTAATTAAAGTTTCTACGTGCCCGCATATCAATGCATATTAATTCGAGTATCATTACCATTACTTTCTCAACGTTTGTTTCATTTAAATTCAAGGATTTGTCTACAGAAAAAAAAGAGAATGAATTTACTATTATCTGTTCGATTTATCTCTTCCCTTTCCCGTTGATATCTTTTGCCTCATTTATACGTTTCCTTTTGTATCTTTCGATCACGTATCGATTGTAGCTGATTGCAGAAAACTCAATCACTCTTTTGGAGTTTTAACAACTGTTTGAAAACTAACTACATCGTTTTGTTCACATCAAAATCTCGATCCCATTGATGGCCGTACATCCGACTTGATTCGCGACTCGCCGAAAAGAACATTTAACTGGCGGCGCAGCGCAGCTTAACGAAAAGAAGACGTAACTGTGCTTTAGTATACGCAGCAACTTTTCTCATTCCTTTCTTCTCCCTCTTCGCTCTTATCCTTCTGGAGCGCTTACCGTTACAGTTATCGGATGCTCTTTCAAGCGACAGTCGCAGAAGATAAGCGCAAAGATAAACTATTAACGCGTAGCGCGGCTCAAAGTTCTGCTTCCCTATCATTTCTCATTCGCTTGAAAAGCGAATATCATTAATTCAACGATCGCCGCCATATAATTCGCGAAATTTAAGGTCGTTTTAAGAAATCTGTTTGATCGATATTGCACCGTCGTACGTTTCAATTCAATTTCACGCAAAGCAGGTCGATACACTTAACTTTTTTTTCTTTTCAAACGTAGCGCTTAATTCAATATTCGCTTTACGGCGCTCTACAAGACCAAATTATTGGTCTACGGTCAATTAGTCTACAAGTATGCGTCAGATGTATTACCGGCCAAACAGGATGCGCATTTCATCGCGGCGGTGACCGTCATACGATCTCATCAAATATTGCCTCCGGACCGCCTCGCAGCTTCAAGCAGCAGCGTTTTTTGAACGGCCTCCACTAAGTATGCGACTCGCGCCGTAGAGAGTGTTGCCGATGTGTACCAGAAGAAGTGGTAGGGTTAAAATAAAAGAAGAAAAAAAAAGAGAAAAAGAAAGGGAAAAAAAAAACAAAAGAGTGGGGGAAGACGTCCTTTATTCCGATGCATAAGCGTGCCTCAGTACAGGCATTAACCTCCCTACCATTTTCTCTCCTTTCTCTTTTCCTCGCACGCCTCGCGCACTGCAGCTATAGTCATCGGATTCTCTTTTAGGGACCGTGCTAAGACTGCCAGATGAAAGTATATAACCGGTTCGCAGCTGCAGCCAGTCTGGAGACCTGGGTATCGGCCGGTGTGCAACTGGCGGGCACACACCGTGGCGCCAGGAACGGATTCGTCGTCCGCGATCCCAAGAAAGGACACGTACGGTCACATCTCCTTATCTTGTCTCGAAAATCCCCGTTAATCCTTTTCGCAATAGCAGTCTATGTCCAGCTAGAAAGTGTAGCATAGAAACGATATAAAATCTGATAAACCGCAATTTATTTTAGAATAATAAACAGCAGTCTAGGCTTAAAGTTAGACCTAGATTCATGTAGCAGGTAGTTTTATGACGAACTCAGAAAGAGTACGATGAGTTCAATGTTTTCTCACGTTGTGATAGTGTTAGCGAAGTAATTTTACGTATCGATCCCTTTAACTTTTCTCTCTATTTCTGTCCATCCAGTACATTACGGTTGCATTGTTTCGCGGTATTCATAGTTATGTGTAGCTGAAATCAAGTAGAAATATATTAAGATATAAGCGGGAATGTAATGTCTATTTTTAGAAATTCTTTGTATTATACATTATTATGCCTTCTCATGCAAGGGTAACTTTTATGCCGTCATGATATTACGATGAACGTTCCGTGTGTGAAATTTATCTAGGTATATCTAATGTGCAGGTAGCACAATCTTTCTATATAAACCGGAAGTTTTTTAAACGGATATTCTTTCTAAAAGGATAAACGGACTGATCGAAGGATATCCGCAAATCATGCGTGAGATTATGATGAGGCGGCAAGAAGTGAAGAAAATGAAACGCAAAACGAATATTGTACGGCATGTCCAGAAATTGGCAAAAAATATCCAACATCGCGTTCATTGTCAGAGTCAATTTCTTCATAGAAGTAAAAACGGATAATTATTACTTATTTCAATAACTTAGACATAATATATATACTTATATTCTATTCCGATAATTTTATAATTAAAATGTCAAATTAAAACTGCTTCATTTTTATACAAATACGAATATTATTATCTAGAAAACAATTTGGACACAAAGTCAAAATTCGACGCGTAAAACGTCTTACAAATTAACGTCTGAAAAATGTCTTTATCGACACTTTTACGAGAACTGCCTGAAAACCGTCTAAAGATATCTTATAAGATGTCTTACATTTCAATTTTGGTCTTCGCATTATTTACATAGATAGTATCTCGAGTTTTGCAAAATTACTTGAATGTAAGTAACTTCCGTATATTCTGCAAATGAGCGACAGTCATAGTAAATGAACGCGGCAAAGTGACGGAAGATACGAGGAGCTTTGGGATAATCATGTCTAGCACTGCTCAGCTTATTACATTTAATGATCTTCATAGAGATGAAGCGCGCTTGATCTTCCGTGACGAAATAAGGTGCGTCCTCCGACAGGATATCGTATCAAAATTGAAATAGCACATAAATATAACTTACGATTCATTAATAACGCGGAGATTGATTGCAATCATTGAATATTTAAAAAAAAGCACAAAAACTGTGCAGACAATTGTAATCTCCTAAACTAATTGATTTAAAATTTTTGAAACATATGTTTGGCAGATACGATTAAAGGATAGGTTTTTTTAAACATGCATATCTTTTTTATATTTTTAAATAATGTATTCTGACGATGAAATCGTCTCTGGAATAAAATTTGATGATAAAATAATTGAAACAACCGTATAAATCAAAACTTAAAAATTTGTTAACTGCTATTTTGAGAAATATCATGAATGAACTTAATCGCATTGGTCTTATTATGTAAATATAATACAACAAAGCAGCGAACTGTTTTATCCGTAACGATGTTAATTATGGTAAACGGAATAATTACTAGAGAATATAAAATATCAAAATTTTAATTTGACAAAGGCTCTTAAATTCAATACAATTAACTTTCGATTTACTTGGTGGGTTCATTACTTATTATTTAGTATTATTTAGTATTATTATACAGAAATAGATGTACGCTAAATTTAACTGTGTTTGCTCTCAATTATCCATATCTCACATCGAAAATTAATTACTAGAGAATTAAAAAAAGTTAGATACAAATTTTTCACACGCCACTGCATTTGAGGCCGTTCGCAAAACGATAATCGCGTGTTGAGGTATACGAAAGTACGCCTGCGAAGAATTGTAAGAAGACACGAAGAGGTGATGTCTCCCAGGTGCTCGCGACCGGCCTCTGCCAAACTCGCCTCCACCCCCTCTCTCCCGTTCTCTCTTTCTTTTTCTCTCGCTTTCTTTCTTCCGTTATTCTTCATCGACTTCTTGGACTCGTGACGACCAGTCGGTCAGTTCCTCTGGTTTCTCTTTTTCCAGAACGCCTCTTTTTCCCGATCCTTCCTAGGACTCTGCGTCCTTTCCTCTTATCCGTGCGCCATTGGCCATTAGCGACCGCGCCGTCCGCCGTCCGTATCATCGAGGCCCCCCGCCCCAGCGCGGTAAAGGGCCCCTCTTACCGGGTCCCGCGGGCCAGTCTTTCGTCGCGCGTTCACCGGTGCTTCGGCCTCCTCGCGTTCCGGCCGATGATCCGACCATGTGATTTTATACGGGTACGCGTATATCTGTTTCTACAATGACTACCTGCGAGTGCATCACATGGCCGACTTGACGATAGGTCCATAATGTCCATATGCGCGATCGAGAAGCTCAACGTGACTCGTTGCGTCACGCTTCACTATCTGATAATCCCTCTTATTTTATCTGTTAATGTTGACGATAATTTTGCGACTGTGCGTATTAAGAGTTATACTTTTACGTTGAATTTTACGTCAATATTGTCAAACAAACGACCCGGCAATCCAATCGCGGTGAGAGATTTCACATTTCAGTTGCATATGCCACGGTGATTTATCGATAGTTGGCCTAGATACGCGATTGTTATAGATGGAATCATGATTTTAAAAGGATTGGATCTCTCGACCTTGAATATTGCACCGTCAATGAATGATAGTGTCTACTGCACGTATTTCTTTGTCATTTTTTCTGAAAATTGTGTCGCGCACAATTTCGTATATTGAGTGACTTTTTGAATGTGATATATTTGTTTTGACAATTGAGGTGAAAAAGATGTGCGTGACGTGCGTGATGGCGTACGAGGACGTAGTATTCGAATAAAGTGGCAGTCTCTCTGGTTACAGTCATTCTCACGAGGAACTCGATATAAAATCAAAGTAGCTTTAGTAAAGTAATACGTGAAAGCTTCAAATTGACATATTCTCTTTATATTCATGCTATATACTTCAAGTAATTAAGTCTCTCTAATTAAGCATTTAATTTATCTTTAGAGATTGAAAGGATAAGATTGCAAAATTAATATTCTTTCTCAAAAGTTTCTCAATAAAATTTTCAAATATTCCTAAATTTTTAAATAAATTTTTAAATAATTCTTAAAATCTTAAATAAAACAATTTTTAAATAAATTCTTAAATAATTTCTTAAATATTTTATAAAATTTTTCAATCAAAATATATTTAAAAAATGGTTTAATTAAAAGAGCGCTATAATTTAACTTTGTCTTTTCGCGTGTTATTTTTTCGAGTTCACCCTCTAAATAAACCATAAATTAATAATTAATTGGCTGTTATCCGTTTAATTTAAATTGGTTGTTATTATTCGTGTACTCGATGTAAATATTAATTAAATGTATATATCGGTGTATAATGTAATACAAATTAATTCTTTAGTTCCTTTACGTATATTTGCATTCGCGATCCGAGCTATCTGACGATACAAACCAAACCAGTTGAAATTCCAGTTGCAAATGTTGTACCGACTATCACATGAACGCGCAAAGGTCGACCAGTCTTTATTTCTTTTCCAGTCGGCGACAAATACCTCACTTAAATATATCTGAGAAATTTACCCTCGTAAATTTAACATATCCAGACCGCGTCCACTTCTCGTATTATTATTAAAATATATGCCATTATAATTGATGTAAGAATATCTCTTTTCAACGTTAAAAGTCCTTTAAAAGTGTTATCGATTTTTCGACGATAAAACTGAAGCTATTAGCTTAAACTTGAAAAGGATTATATCGAGAATGCAGTTGGATGCATCGTGGATTTTTTTTTCGAAAAGTGCCGATAAAAGTAACGCGATAGTAAAACTTTTCATCGAATTCGTACGATGTAAAACGAAAGTGCAGTAAAAATGTAACGCAGTGTTTTTTATGTGAAACTGAAAAACAAGTCTATACGTTTTAAGTTTTATCCCGAAAAGTATTCAATGTATTCCTGAGAAAACACAACCGGTGCCGACCAGATGGGAAGTGATGTATACTTATTATGGCAGAAACGTTCTCAAAGAGATCCGTCGCAGCTAAGGTGAATTTTATCACAATTCATTAACTACAGTTAAGCGTAACGATATATTTAGATTGATTTTAAAACGGGGAAATAATGATCATATCGATACTTGACCTATTTATTCCTACCGTCTTATTTATAGGACAGCATTAACAAATTTTTTTTCTCCATATGTATATACTATATACATATAATCCATATATGTATACAGAGTGTATCTAAAATAACGTACACTAATCATACAGTGCTATTCCTAATAAAAAAACTGACAAGTCGAAAAGTCCTTTACCAATTTGCAATTTTTGCAATAGTTAACAAGATATTAATTATAAAAAATCGCTGAATATGGGTTTTCAATAATTTTTTACTCAAATACTATCAACTTTACAGAAAAACTGCTAGAGATAAAAATTGTTTATTTTCTTCTCATAAAATTATGAGAATTTTTTCAGAATTTTTTAATACCGTATTTTTCCATGTTGGTAAAAATAAGAAAAACATGTTGGTAAAAATAAGAAAATGCAATACTAAAAAGTCGATAAAAAATTCTGAAAAAATTCTTAGAGTTTTATGAGAAGAAAATAAATGATTTTTGTCTGTTGCAGTTTTTCTGTAAAGTTGATAGTATTTGAGTAAAAAATTATTGAAAACCAATATTCAGCGATTTTTAGTAATTAATATCTTATTAACTATTGCGAAAATTGCAAAATGGTAGAGAACTTTTCGACTTAGTTTTTAATTAGGAATAGTACTGTATATATAGTGTACGTTATTTCAGATACACCCTGTATATAAAAAATTGAAAAGATCCATATAGAGTACTCATATGAAGAAAAAAAATTAAAAAGATGCTGTCCTATGAATAGGACAATGGAAAGAGAAATGGATTAATAACAAGGAGATAAGAAATCGTTTAATTTAATAATCACAACGACAACTCTCAATTTATTTACACGTGTCTATCTTAATTCGATGATCGTATCGTTTCTAAGATCAACCGTGCGACAACAAAGCGTGTGTGAATACTAAGAGATTGTGGAAAGGTATCACTATCCTCCAGTGTAGGCCACGAAATCTCGTAAATGTGGCATTGACGTATGAGAGGCTTTTAGCTGAATATACAGTTATTCGTCCGAGAGATCTTTTAAGCGCAAGTCAGACGGGGTATGTAATTTTCATGTACGACTCTCTCTTCCTCTTGTTCCTTTTCTTCTCTTTTCCGAGAGGCGGCTAAGCGCAACGCTCGTGACACGCACGCGTTTCGCACGGAATCTCGCGCGTGTGCATCATACGCACTCGTCTCGTCTTGTCTCGTTTTGTTCCGTACCAGGGGATGCGAGCGTGCGCATGCTGTAAGGAATTTTTCTTCGCGCTTCCTTACGATTGCGTCTTCCTCCTTTCGAGGAAGTGAACGGATATAAATCTCCCCTCACGTATCTCTTTCCTCGTTCTTCTGTTTACGAAACTGCGTTACGCTACGGAACGATCTCGTATACCTTGAACACTCGAACAATCGCTAAGAAGTTAGAACAAGTGCCAGAATGTTACACTCAAGCAGAAGAAAGATTGCACAGCCTCGTACGGCCGAAGTATGCATGCGGATCCCGAAGCGAATTGATGATTTCGTTGATTTTGAATACGTTAGCATTGTGTTTGTGACGGCTGCATCGGGAAATGAACGCAATATTTATTAATTTAACGAACGACTATGCGTTCAAGTATCATACAATAGAAATAGTACGCTATATCGCAATATAACGTGATTTATTAATTTGAAAGCGCTTCAATTTTACGGGTTCAAAATTTTACTTGATTGGCATGTTCGCATGTAAATAAATAATGGACCGTCGACAACATCCCGCGTGTCTATTCGTGTACCAAATTTTCCGTGCTCTACCTCGACTGATATGCCCCATTATGTTTTCATTCCGCTTTGAAATGTTCTTATTTCGTCTTTTTGTTGCTATTCTGCAACGCGCGGCGTCAATCCTATTAAAACGCGAAACACGGAAAGGCAATTTCGATCGCGATAAAGTAAAAACGTTTTCGTTTGTGAAACAATCTTGCGCCATCAGGGTACTTTATCAGTGTACTCTATCAGCATCCCAAGTATCCATCGTTTCCGTTCGATAAACTCGGCTGAGATTAATTTACGTTCAACGGATTTACTAATCTCGTAGTTATTGTAAATTGCGTTTTAAATTGTCCCGAGGTACGCGCGATTGTTCCCGTCATACACTCGATACACTGACAGCACATTGTATTCGTACAATGCTGGTGTAATTTAAAACTTCTCGACGCGCATAACCGATGGTAAAAGCCGGATAGCGACGCGTTCACCCACTCGAATAACAAATATTCGGTTCTTTCTGTTCTACGTTTTAACCATTGTTAAAATCTGTAGGTTGTTTTATCGATCTGCTTGACTCCGATTTTCTCGTTTCAAAGACATTAACCAATCTTGTACGTACATAATAAATTTATAATAATAATAATAATAACTTTATTGATGTGCAGTACAAAACTATTGCAGAACAATGAGACAAAAGACACTAATTAGCAAAGCATTATCAAAAGGCGAAGTATCAGCATAGTGCTGACTAAAAAACCTAGGCCCAGAACATAGCTTAGAAGAGAGTAAGAACTAAAAAAGCATGTTAAACGGAAAATTACAATGAGATGAAGAGTTACAAGTAAGAGTATTGCAAAGAAGTATGATGAGCTCAGAATTACATTCGAAGGTGAAATATGTAAAGCATTAAGTGTAATAGATAATAATAAACACGAAATATTCACAGCTCATTAATATAATTAAAGTAGGAAAAACAGATTTACACAGAGAAAAATTATTATATTAGTGCTATTATTATTATTATTATTATTAGTCTCGTTGTCCTGTATATCGTTTCATTCTGATTTTCGAGATTGTAAGTATCGGTTTTTGCATCCGCAATAATATTGTTGAAAGAAGGATAATTTTAGAACTGTGTAAGAATCGATAAACTTCTCGCGTTTGTCAGAATTCTGCGAATTGAACAGCTCGTGAATTATTTTGATAACGTTATCTGGTTCAAGATTTGACATTCTGTTTCTAAACTAACCGATCTAATTATTGGGACGTGTTCTAATCGGGAGTCATCGATTTTCGATACGGTCGACTCTTACGCGCGATGATTCGATTCCCATTCTGTGATGGCATTTTGAATCATTTAAATGCTGCGCACGTTTTACGCAACGTCCTTTCTATCCTGCGTCGGTATTCTCCGTCACGACTCTCGTGACGGAGCGCACGAAAATGTCAACAGTTACAACGTGACTACGCTTGGTAAGCGCGGCGAACTATGCAGACTTGCGCGCGGATGCAATTTCGTTTGCGATAACGTAACGAATATCCCATTATCGCCAGAAACTGACACTCACCTCACTCGGTCCTTTCCGGTGGGATAAGCTCGAATCTAATCGGAACCCGCGAAGCTTTCACAGAGAGACAAAGCTGTTTAATATCGATATCAAACAAGAGTACATTTCTTGCGTCATGTGATAAAATGTAATTGTAAGTAATTACGATATAATTGTAATTGGTTTTAAAACTGCCTTTGCATAAAAGAAAAAATAGAAAAAATCAGTTGAGTAAAGGAACTATTTTCTCATAATAAAAGCCGATTCCATCTTACGTCGTGCTTAGATTTATCTTGACAGATAGCCGCGTATATCGATAAACTTCCTCGAAATCGCCTGCGGATCGACATCTCCAGGGCGTGAAAGTATTCGGGTTAGATCGCACGAGAACGACAGTAAACACGATAATGACACAATATGCTTCTGGCCTCTGGCATACGATATTAATCGAATCTCTCAACTTCCGCATAATTTCGCGAAATTCAACGGTGAAAGTATTCTTTGCCATATACGACATACCTCTTACGACGTAAATGGATTTACTGTTGAGCATGGGTGACCCGTTCGCAATAAAATAGACGAATAAAAAGGTTACGTTAGGAATTTCTGCAGCATCCATTGAAAAAAAGAATCAGCCGATGCGAAATTCCGTTACTCAACGACGCGAGTAATAAATCGATTTAATGTTTTTCCAATCTATATTATAGATTTTGTACCGATAAAATACATTCATTAAAATTAGAAAAGATATGTGTCTGATTCTAAGAAAAGATATTTCTAATGAAAAAAATAAGTATTCTAGTTTTTAAAGATTTATTGAAGGATAAAAAATTGGAACTGAAGTAGTATTAAAAAATATATTAACAACTAATGTATTAACACTTACTGTTATATTGGCCAGTATTAGCAATGCAATATATGTACCTATATTTAAATATAAAAGATTACAATTGATTGTAATTATTCAACGAAAGAATAAAACTATGTCGGTTTCCACGAAGTCACGGTTTTTCAATAAAAGTAAAACAATTGTGATTCTTCAACGAGAGTGTACTTGGTATCCAAAATTAGATACTCTATCATGTTATAGTAATGAAAATTCTGTCAACAAGCTTGTTAGTCCGCACGTATGCCGCAATTTCGTTGGTGGATGATGAGACATAAGAAGAGTTGCGATTATTTCCATCCAATCCTCTAAAGACTGTTGGCATATAAGATAGCTTGCAATTAATGAAATGTGTATTGCAAAGAATAACAAGCAAGAATTATTAATGGATCTGCGAAAAAGAATAATTGACAATAATTGAGGAAATCGTGGTATAAAAGAACACTGTTTAGAATTTCTTTTTAGAATAAAAAGAGAGAATTGAGATTTTTTATTTATATATCCACGCGATCACTATTATCAATTCATTAATTTAATTTTAAGAAGTCTATCGAAGAGGAAAATCTCGGTTTTACGTATCAGAACAGGTGCGCCGCAGAATGGATGATTGGTGTCATTGCGTCATTTGGCTGATACTTACGTGCGACGCGAACGAGAGAAGCGCATAGCTCAAGTGGGATATAAGCGATCGAATAAAATAACCGATGTGTTTCGCCACCGTGAAATATATCGTGGATTTATAGTGCCGTAATAATCGTAGCGATTCCTTGCTGGCGGCAGCACCATGTGCGCCAGCGAGCGTCGTAGAGAAACGGGCTTTTACATTCTTCGATTGTCGTGATCGTTCAATCGATTCGTTTTAACGCTCGTTTTAATGCCTGCGAGATATTAGCACGGCCGATTGCTTGCGCTGGTGGAAATGCGGTAATTGCGGAACAGCATGCTGCTTGTGCGGCGCAGCGGAATGGGTTTTTATCATAAAACTAGGCGATGATAAAAGAAATTATAGACACACAAAGTAACTCGTCTTGATATACTACATGTACCTACGAGTATATAGAAAAAGTACGTTAAGATAAAAAAATTTAATCGGAAATTTAAAAACAAAATTTTTCAAATTTATAAGTGACTTCCTTTTCTCGAATTATATGTTATAATATAATTATTATTTTATGTTATTGTATAACATTATTATATAATTTATAATATTATTAATATATGTAACAAATACATATTCTAGCGAATTTACATAATAAATTTTTATTTTAATAACATTTTCATCATAAAATAATTTCAATATATTCATGTGAAGATATTTCTTTTGAATATATATACTAGAATGATTTCGTATCCCTGCTCTCTAATACTGATCTAAGAATAATTGAGAGAAAGAGACAATTTCACGTTTTGTATTCATAATAATAATAGCTACTGCATCTCAATATTTTTATAAATCATCCATCCCTCATGGAATTCTCTCTCAGTGAGTATTCCAGTCGCCCTTCTGCGCAGTGGCATAATAATTCAGGAAAATCCCAGCGATTCCGGGAGGAGATCCTCCCAGAGACAAGTTCGATGAAACACAACAATGAGAATCATCCGGGAGGATTAAAACCTGGATTATATTGCGGTACGGAAACCGATCAAAATGCTGCTAGCTAGGAAAAGTTCGCCAGCACAGAAATCACAGCGAAATCATAAATTAAACGCATTGTATTCGGCTATATTTTAATTCGTAAGTTTCTATATCAGACAGTTTTATCAAACTAACTTTCCCGTTGTTACGTATTGATTCATTTTTGAAACTTTATCAAATTAAACTGTCTTTCATTATTTAGAAATATTTAGCTCCAATATTCTTGCTATGGATTATGAAAAAGAAATATATGGTCGCATTCCGCAAGGACATAATTGCGTTAGGTGTCGTTATTTAGTACGTTCCACCCCTGGTGCTTTTATTTATCGTCATGTTCGGAGGGTCGCTATTTTTATCGGCCATATAATCGGCGAGACACATTTGACCAAGCGAAAGATATCTTTATACCGGAAATATGAGTCTCGTATTTATAAAAAGATATTTTTTCAGTTGTAAGCATTTTTTTTTGTTGGCGGTATGCGAGAGCCGCTTGTTTTGCCAGATCGTGCATGTGCGGTCCAGAATGTCGCGTTCTATCTGTGAAAGACGAAGAGACGTGGAAAGGAAAATTCCTGAAACCGGTGGCGTGTTTTTCTCGAGATCGTTGATTGGCATCACGCGACCCAGAGGCAATCTCTGATTGGTGACCGCTCCGCTACTCTCCCCGCGAACAAGGAGTGGGCCCCGAAATCGAAGGTTTGTTCGCGTCGCAAGCTTCAACATGCTCCAACATGTTCCTACCATAGCCCCTACTCACTCTCAAGCACGTTGGAGTGAGTAAAGGCTCGTCTCCAATACACGTAGTATAAGCTTGGTTTAAGAAGTAAGAGTAAGAAATTGACCAATTCTCATAGTCGATTATTCTTTTCACATTCGACTGTGGTTGATCAATTTCTTACTTTTACTTAATTCAAGCTTACTACGTGTATTGTAGACGGGCCTTAAGAGCTATGATAAGAGCATGTTGGAGCACGTTGGAGCTTGTGAGACGAACAAATCTCGAGAGTCTATATAGAGTTATGCCCGTATTCATAGTCAGACCTTGTACTTAAGGCTTCCTTAAATTTATCTTTAGATGCTCAATAGCCAATGAAATAATTCGTAGAGCATCTGAAAATAAATTTAAGGAAGCCTTAAATATAAGGCCCGACTATGAATACGGGCCATAGAGTCAGATTGAGGTCACGGTCACTGTGAGATCGAATATACGCGAGAAAAACTATTACTGTTCACCTACATAGTTTAGTTTTTTTTTCTAGTACCAAAAAATATAAAAATAAACAAGCTATAGAGTAACTCCGGCAAATACGCCGCGCTGGGATTTACGCCGCAGAAGTCAGAAAAAATAGAAGGAGTGGGGGTAATTTTCCCGTAACTCTATTACATGCCTTTATGTTATATTAGTATTGTGTTATGATTTCAGTTTCTTACTGTTAATATTAATGAATTTATTGTGAGTTGAATCGATTTGTCACTGTAATAAGTAACGCCATCATAAGTTATAATCTACATAAAATGATTAATGTAGGACGTGTAAAAGACTTATGCCCGTATTCATAGTAAGGCCTTATATTTAAGGCTTCCTTAAATTTATCTTCAGATACTCTACGAATTATTTCATTGGCTACTGAGCATCTAAAGATAAATTTAAGGAAGCCTTAAGTATAAGGTCTGACTACGAATACGAGCATTAGTGGTTATTTTGTGATACATACGTGTAGTGAAATAGTAAAGCATGTTTGTATTATTAAGCATGTTTACATTATTTGTAAATTTTTCATGAGCCGTACATACCCCCTTTCCCCCTATGAGTAGCCATATATCCCATCCCTATGAGATATGCGGCAAAAATATAAGGTTTCAAAAAGTTTATTTTTTAATATGAAAAATAAATATTTCGGATTTCTAATATTTTTTTCATAGTAGTAGACAGTACAAAGTTTTTACTGATATAGTTCGTTTACTATAAACATAGTAAATAATACTTAATAAATTAAGTTTTTGATAGGTGCGGCGTATATACCGGAGTTACCCTACAGCAATTTATTCGTAATAGTCAAATCGCTTCGATGAATCAAATATACAATATTTTTAAATTACGTTTGTAATATGTTTCCTACGGCATCCATAATACAGAGGAAAGTCGATAAAAATTTTCTAGGTTTTTCTAAGTTTTCGTCGAACAGTCTTTCTTTGAGCCAAGGGACAAGCGGTTTCTTCTCGATTGAAGGGAGAAACGAAATTTTCCAAATTTCGTTTCGGCGCGTGAGGGCAGGGATGATCGCCAGCCAAATTGACTATTGGAAGGAAATGGCGAGCCTGCGGAAGGTAGGGGGTCGCGTTCCGGTGTACGGATGTCCTCGAAACGGAAAAAGGAAATTAAATTCTTGTCGTAGGCCAGGTCTGCCTTTATTGTTTTCCAACGGCGTGTGCGTAGCGGTATAGTTTTCCTGCTATGTGATGTCGCCGTCTGGCAGCCACCCGCCGAGTTAGGTGGGTTGCGACCCTTCAAAGCACGGTTACATTGACGATCTCATAATTATTTCTCGGCGAGCATACAATAAATATATTGACGAAAGCGTAAAAATAAATATAACACGCGAGAATAATAGCAACTTGTTCGTGAGAATATTCGATTGTAGTAGTACCAAACGTGTATTTCTCAGAAGGAATTTTAGACTTTATTTGTATTGCTTTTGTAAAAAAGAAGTTAAATTCTTAGGTCAGGTAGCTAACGTAACCGTTATTTAAATTTCTAAGGTGTCTTTTAAAAGCAGAATCTATGTACATCCGAAAAATTTTTTCTTTTGCATTGCTTCTAACACCGAGTTCTTTCTGTCACAGTACATGGGTTCGTTTCCTGTGGCGATTCCCGACATTGCCAGCCGCGCGGAATTTGTGCGCTCCCAATTGGAGATCCTTAGGGTAAGTGCTTTCCCCTGATTCTGTTGTGTACTGAAAACTATTTCTAATTTAGCATCCCTTTCTTAAGGGAATATGATTATTATACAAAAAATGACAAATTATGCCTGCGAGATAACATTGTTTTCCTTCCGGGGACGGCAAAACCTGCTTCTTCCGGTAATGCGTGGCAAGACGAATTATTCTAGCGCGCCTTTTCGCATAATAAGAAGCAATAAGATCCTAGGATAATAGCGTGGCATATACCAGCGGTTCCATTTTCACCCTGTTTGTTTTCCCGTTTTGCATGCATGATGAATTCACCAGTTTTATATTCAAATGGTCGCGCGATCTCGACATTACGTAGATTTGTGTATATGAGATGAGATAAAACTATAGATTCTCGCTCATAATCTCTTAAAATATTTTTTAGATGCTACTTTAAAAAACCGTTACCTTCGATCTGTTATGTTTTACAAATCATGTTTGATGTATAATGTAATGTCGTAATAAAATAACGACGCGTGCATAATGATGCCCATTGATGGAAGCTTATTTCATCCGTCGTAATGCTTGACATCAATTGCAATCAACAGCAAATACATTTCGTAATTAGCCCGAATAGATGAGTACCATATGGCAAAGGAATCAAAACGGTTCTCATGTTTGAGGGGATTATTATTCTAAAGCTACGTTATTACTGTATAAATCTAGTAATGACCGTACCTGAATGGATCAGCAGAATTTCGGCTTTGAGTTTCATCGGAGTTGGATATTTGTTTACAAGCGAGAATAATTCGTGCCAGGAAGTTCCTACTTAATCTCCAACGTACGTGTGCGCCAGTATTCGTGTTGAGCAGCCTGCATGCATGTAAGAATGCACGCTGCTACTTTTCCCGTGATACTACTTCATTAAAATGTACGTACGCCGCGCTCGTTTTCATCAATTTTACTTGAATAGTTGCCAACGATTAAAGTTAGATGCATTGGCTTGCTTATCACATCTTTCCTTTTTCCTATGAATGACAGAGATGTAAACTGTCGTGAATTAATTAGCTGTCCCGGTATCTATGTCCTATTAAATGTTAATAGAAATTAAATTTACTAAAAATTTGAATGGAAAGATAAGGGAGCAAGATACATTGTGTTGACACGCTCTTAATTGTTAATTAGCCGACTCCAATATAGACATAAGTAGATTATTGTGAGAGAATTCTGATACCTGAGTATTAGATAGTATATTATATTGGTACCTAAGTATATAGATAATGTATTAGAAGTATATTATGTTTCCTGCTAATTAAGATTGTTTTAATTAATATATTCAATCCACACATTCTTGAAAAGATATATGCTTTGAAAGTAAAAATCGTATAGAAACAAAAGTTTAAATTTGTTGAATGAATTCTTATTTAATCATTTAAAATTTCACTTACTCTACAGAAATCCTCACAAATGAAATATCAATCGAATATCTTTATGAGGCACCATCAATAGTTTAGTGCAATATTTAAAAAAATGGAATATAACTAGATTTCCGTCTTATTTTGTATATAAAAATTTATTTGTGGTTTCTCTATAATAACAATTGACTCCTTTTTACTTATAAATAAAATTGTAGATTTGTGGTAACGAAATCAAAGGATATGAGCAATCTCCAACGTAATGAGTCGTAAATTCGACGAGTCACTTGCCTCTCCGTGTTCAGCGATCGTTCCCACTCAATGCGCACTTTCGCAAATCGTCCCTATTGTTATACTCCATCGTAGAAGATCAGACTTTCAAAGAAGCGTTTAGTGTAACACGCCGTAAATGCGCGTATATCTCGTCTCACCCCTGCAACATTTATATTTATACGGCCGCCGTAAATGAAGCGAAAATCACGCTCGGTTGGTTAAGAGACGCTTCACCGGTCGCCTACTGGTGCCAGTAGGGTGTCGGTAATCTCCATGTTTTGTGCTACAATCGTTAGCAACATGTAAGACATGAAATTTTATTAATGCAATTAATCCAGCACGCATTCCTCTTTTTATTGAATTTGACAACACACATTTGTTATTCCAAAAAAATACTCCAACTTATAAGATTAAATTATATTTTTCACAAACATATTTTTTCTCTTTATTTGCAAACTGTTTGTTTTTATAACTTTATTATTTATATAATCAAAATTTTATTATTAATTTATTGTATTTTAAGGTATTGTATTTTAATAACTTGTATTTTAATAAAAATACATTTATATTTACTTGTTAGCTACAGATGTGAACATTATTTGTTAACTGAGATAAAATTAATTCGATGTGATAATTGATTTATAAACTTTATTTGTGTAAATAATGCATTGTTCGATTAATTTAAACTTTTCATTGCCGAGTTTAACTTTTCTCAAGTTAGAAGATATTTAATTTAAGCAACTCCAGCAGTTTGTATCGATCTTTATAATGAAGATTTATTAAAAAATTTATACACCATCGATATCAACCATTTTTATGCACCACGTGAATAGTTAATGCCCGTAATGCCCGTAATAGCACGAGAGCCCGTAACAGAGTTTCGTTTAGTTGAGTTTAATGCCAGTCTGTGTCTATTCTGTAGAATGGATAGATATATCTATAAGGAAATGAGAAAATCAAGAAATGTGATCAAATTATCGGACATGCGATTCTCTGCTCTGACTTTTTATTAGTCGTAAAAATTAGAGAATAATAAAATATTACATGGTCGTCGCAAATAAATCTTTCAACTTAAAATGGTTAGAGGAGGGATATATTATTTTCTTTTTGCTGTACTTTTGAAGTTGGAAAAGCGATAAAGTAGATGAAATTATAATATACTTTGAAATTTAATGCGAGGTATTCATAAAATTTAAAGCAAATTAATTTTGTTTTTATTCTATTTTAAACTTACATGAATATTTAAATATTGGAACTTTACTCGTTATTTATAAAAATTTAATTGTTATAATTATTTTTTTGGGTATGGAAAAATTGGGTATGTCTAAATCGGTAGTAAATTAAAACGAGTTTATCGTGAGTTATCTCGTGAGTTTTTATTGTATTTCGGTGTCCTGCTGCTCAAAGGACATTTTTGTGCAGCAAAACGAAAATTCACAGTGGAAGCCACTCAAAGGGGCTTGCGAAGGGCCTTTACCTCGAATTTAAATTGAAACAAAATCATTCAATGGTATTTCTCTCGCGGGAGTTTAACAAAAAAATGGCAGTGCGAATGAACAGAAATTTATTTGACGAAGTTAGAACATTCACGTGGACAATTTCGTCGTTCTCTTTAGCACATACGAATTTCAAGTGTCGCAGGGTGGATAGGCTGTCAAAGCCATCTGCTTTAATTGCCAATTACATGAGACGCTTTCACGGGGTGTCAAACAGTGGTCCGAATTTTTTCGCGAGATTTCCAGCTGGGGCACATTGTACTGTACGGTCGGTTAACGGAAATACGTCGTACCAAAAAATTGTTTCACCTGGAATAGCTCTTTCAAAGTTACGCACGAATTTTGAAATATCTATTATTGTTTCATCAAACATTGTATTGCGTTACAAATTGAAATATACAGTATTTTACCAAAATGTTCTCAATTTATATATTTTTCTTCTATTGTATTAAATTTATTCAACATAAATTTACTGTGCTATTCTTTATATTAATTAATTATTAATATTTTTATACATTAGTTGTCAAATTTGCGTTACTGTATAAGACGAGGTCCAAAGAAATCGCGGCTGTGCTATTAAAATTCAAAATCAAATCGATGAGCCATCGTGGAATGTAATTTAATCGGGAAAAATCCAATAAACGCATTCTACAGCGGCATGATGTATTGGCATACCATCGGTTTCTTTTTCTCAGGTTTCTGTCTTGCCAAGTTATTAAAGCTATGACAAAGGCAGTCGTGTCAAAGAAATACGATCTTGAAGGTATGCATCCGAAAGTACCTGTGACAGCAAACAATTGGAAATCATTTCTACAAAACTGAGAACACAATGTTAGAATTTAACTTCAGTTCTTTGAAACCATTCAAATCGATTGATCTAATTATGATTCACTAAGATTACGTATTTCCTATGATGATACCAGTATCAAACATCAATAGTAATTTAATTATTCGAATGCATTTAAAACTCATAAATTTGTAAACATCCAGACTCGTCAAAATGATCTTTTTTTCTTGTATCGTTGCACCCTCATGGAATAATTTTGTCATCGTGCATTAACGAGCCGAGAATAAATAAAATGAATATACGCAAGTACAAATTTGTCACGGTGGTCAATGACGTAGAAACGTCACTTTCGTTTCGTGGATCACGACGAATGGGGGCAGTTTGTCACGAAGAAGGGTATCTTTCCACCCTTGACACGTTGACCACCCTATAGACACAGCGGAAGGTACTGAAACGCACGAGAACACGTGCAGGGTATATCGCAATACGTGTAGGTATCCATATTGATTTCGGGGATGCGTAGCCGCCGACCTCTTTCACTGGCTCTTTCTCTCTCTGGTATTCCGGGATGCTCTTTTATCGCGAGGGTTGAAAATAAAGAAAAACGATAACGGTCTAATCTTCCACTAGTTCGCGCTACACACTAATTACCAGGGATCTCTTAACGCCGTTGTTCTAACCTAAATTATCACCGATTGTTTTGTGGAAGTGTGGTCCTTGTGAAAACAAAGAAAAGGTACACTACTCGATCGTTTCGAATCTTGGAAACTTTACGCGATAAAGTCATGATTCACGATTTCACGTTGAAGAACAAAGAACGAAAATCACGTTTAACCGGTTCATCCTCAAATTACGATTCACCGCGAAACCACCAGGGAGAGAGAGAGAGAGAGAGAGAGAATAGTGTAAAGTCGATCTATCCGCACCCACACCTCCATCTTCTCACATTTACGACGATGCGGTTTCGGCATTGGTTTACCAGACAATCGTCGACAACGTCGACGACGCCATGTTACATGTAGCTATGCTACATATAGGTCATGTATAATCCGCAACGAACCGACA